GAATGTTATTGTTATATGCAGACGAACATTTAATTTGAATAATCAAGCGAACACTTCTGCATGTATATTCTAAATGGAAATAAGAAAAGAGATATGTCGAAAAGAAGGCAGGTTTCAAACTATATCTGCGTTCAAACAAGAGAGCATGCGTATGCATAAAACAAAATGAAAACAGTGTGAAACGCATGATATGTACAAACAACTTAATGCAATTTTCTCCTACCTTCTTGTTATAATGTTTCTTTACAAATACGATATATTTCCTAATCATTAGGTACAGTATATAAGACTGATAAACTAATCATGAAGATGATAATTAACATGCTATAGTAATACAATATTTATAGAAATATAATCTGGAAATTTCATAATCTGGTAAACTCCTACAAGATGTCATTGGATATCAAATATGAGTTTTTTCTTTACACTTTCCTAACGACTTTCCTAACGAACAGACATATTTGGAAACATAAAAAACGGCCGACAGTCATGATTAAATGTTCCAATTTTAATAAAAGTGACCGATATTTCTTTTTTTTATAGTATTTCAAGTATGTCTGTTAAAGCACTAAAATATTGTAACGTTTCCGGTGCAATAACAGTTTTATTGTGCACACACAAAATGCACATGAAAAATAGAACTATGTTTGAGAAAAGTAGGTACATTTACTTCTGTTTGCATTCGTGTATAATCATCTTAAGTCAGAGATTCAGGTCATATTTATCAGTCGTCACCACTAAGCATAAAGGCATTGTGAGTAAATTTCGCAAGATTTCTTATTGTAGTCTAATTATCACTTTTTAAAGCCTCTGTAAATTTATAACATTTTGTATTTTATGAAAATATGAATAAATGAATTGTTTTCTAATATGTTCGTACAACAGGCATTTAATGACAAAATGGTATTCGTCTTCTATATCTCTGTTTTGACCAAAAAAATCGCTCATTTCTTTCTACTGTGTTCAGTTTCATTAGATAGGTTCAAGAGCTTATACATTACTAACGTTCCAAACTCCCGTATCTTTGGAACCTTTTTTGTTTAAAAGTATTATTAAGTCGCACTTTAAAATACAGACGAAATCTATCTAAGTCAAGACAGAGTGGGTTTTGCCAATAACCTTAATAACATAAAAAGTTTTATAACAGGCATTCAAAATAATAATTTTAGTTAATCAAAGTCCAGTGAGGATTTTCACTTTATGTATGACTTTTAAAGCTTGATTTAGTGGAAGCTTTACTTAAATTGGTTTGCTTTTTAACTACAATGATATATTTTGTAAATATTAAAAGTTCTTGCTGACCATTTTAGAAGATAAGTTTTGTAAAATGTGTTTACGAAATTCCTTACAATAACATTTATTCAATACCATAGTTGTACCTTTTTTTCAGATTCTGGAGAAAATTTAATTGTCTGTTTGTAAATATATTTTGAATTTAAAATCTTCTACACTTAATTGTATGATTGGTGAATTAGATATATCAAACTTAGCCTTACAAGTCATAACAGTTGTGTTTCAGGAGTAAAACCTATAAATATAGAGGGCAATTAAATATGTAAAACATAAAACAATGTAGTCAGTATTTTTAAGAAATTTTGTTAATTCTCGTGGATAACATTTGAAAAAGATATTCTTCCATCAGCAGAAGGAAGACAATATACTGGCCGGTATATTAATATTTTCAAATGTTCTTTTAAGTTTGGATTGCACGGATTGGCATAATTCTGTAAATAATATCCTAAGTGATAAGGGAATCATACAAACAAAAATACTCATTGTTTTGAAGAATATATTCTTCTATTTAATAAAAGCAAATATTTATGTAAATTTAGAACCATTTGAATCGTTTGTAACTTATTGAAATGGTTGAACTAAAGCCGTATAATCTTTTTTTATTTCCCCATTGGTGATGAATTTCACTACTTATTTAGTTAATGATTTTTACTAATTTATTTTAGTTGTGTTGGGAGTTATAAGCTTATTGAAACACGTTTGAATCCGTTCCTGGAATAAAACCGGTACTAAACAATAGGTGTAAAGTTTCTTGTTAAAGGAAATAACGACTTGCCCCATACAAGATTTGAACCTACGCGGTCAGCAACTCTTTGAAAATGCTCTTATTCTTAAAAAATAGTTTTAGATACTATTTTTCTCAGTTATCTTAAATAAAGGACTATTTGAAAAAAAAACCTCTTATATTAATCTATAAGTTTATTTCTGACTTATAGAATCGTTTTTATGCATAAGAATTTAATTGGTATGTACTAAAGAATCGTTTTCATGAATAAGAATTTACTTAGTGTGAGATGCATGCTGATATATATGTTCACATGGAAAAAAGTAGTGTATTTAATACTTTACACGGTGTAACTTTGTTAGCATTATTTTTGAGAATTTGCATTTTCATGTGTTTTGGGTCAGAGCTAAATGTCAAAGAGCAAAAGAGTGCTAATAGAAAACTAGAGAAAAAACATGAGATTTTATTGAGTTATAAGAAGAGGAAGAAAAGACAAAAAAAAAAATGCTTTTTACTTATTCCGAGTGACGACCAGAAGTCAAGCTACAGCCATATTTCAAGCTTCTTATCACACAAATATCACATGTATATTTGTGGTATCTTGACCTTCTGTATGGAAAGCGGTATGGGACCCTTCCGCCGTTACTATATAATCCAATGTAAATGTCTTATGACGGAAATCCGCCGTTAGAAATACCCGCTCCGCCATAAGCTATCTATTTCGCCGGTATACTTGTCCGGCCTAAAGATTGCGCTGTTAAAATGAAACTGACGGAAATCTGTCGTTTAAATACCCGCCCCGGCGTTATAAATACTTTCGAACTCACCAGTTCAGTAACTGTGCCGGCTGAATTTGACATTGGGATAAATTTATCAATTCCTTGTGAAGTTCTTGTAATTATACGTTTTAGGAGAATGTTTGATGGGGTTTCGGTCTGGGCTTTTTGCACGCCACTGAAGTGATGTTAACGTTAATAGAAGAAAATAATCAACAACCATACGAGACTAAATGGGCATTTGAATAAGCATTATCGTACATGAACATCGACATAATATTTAGAGCATGGTTTTAGAAGATGGCAAAGCAATTCACACATTCAACCACGCAACATGCCTTCTTTCTTCAATATTTTACTTGATATGAACGGGATATGTTTGATTATTCTAATTTGAGCTGTATTCTCCTTACATTTTGTTGCCCATGTACGTCCGGAACGATGACGATGAGTAGGGAACGATGAACTTACCTAACATTATCTGGTTTTTTTTTGTGTTTTTTTTTTCTTTTTGTAAATGTAATTCATATCAAGCTGATTGTCGATGGTATCCGACCAATATCACTCGCAATAGCTCTCACGTACAGACACATAAAACTGGTGTACGATGTGTTACATGTGACAGGCAAGTTAAGCCCATTTTGCACCAGAAATGCTTTTATTAATTTTTATTTCTCAAATTCGTTTCACTTTTTGTATTCTTTTAAAGTTTTCAACAATTTTTTGCTTTTTGGCAATTAGTACATTTATAGTGATTTTATATTTTGTATGGAAGTCAAAATACTACTTTGTTTCCATTTTGCTACTTTAATGACACAAAACTTTAAACATTTTGGACAATTTGCTTTAGGTAAGACACATGCTCTAAACGGTATAAAACTCATGTTTGACCTTTTAAATAAGTAAATATTTATTCATTTCTGAGTCATAAAATATATATTCATATAAATAAATTTAAAGTAACAATTACACTGCTTTGATAACAGTTAAAAGAATCAGGTATAATAACTGTCAGATGCAAAATATTTCAAATAGTTTTATTTCGAGACAAACAATTAATAAACAGTAATGTTGAATACTTCTGTTGAAGAAAATATATCAATAAGATTATTTTGATAAGCTTTAACATGATTTAACGAACCCGCCTAATCATAACGACGGAAATTATCATGATACTGCTGGTAACAGATGCGAAGAAAAACTTAGTTCAACTATAGCACATATATGATCGATGTAGTTTGAATTAATGTAGGACACCATGAACTCTTTTTACGGTAGAACTTTGTTTCTACTGTTGTCATTTTGGATTTTCACATCTGTTTGGATATTAAATTACCATTTGCACAGAAACTTTAATATAAGAGGTAATAGATTTTTGTTACACAAATAAAGAATTACGACCGCTTAGCATGTAAGCATGCAGTTTACAGTTTGTCTTGTTTAATACTGGTGTCGAATTTTTATTGAATGTAGTTTTATTTGTTGTATATTTAAAGAAATATGTTGCAATAATTATTTCCACTTATAACACTTTTTGTTACAACCAAAAAAAAATCAAAGTTTGTAAGTTCAAATTTACTTACTTTGAAAAAAATATAATTACGTTTTCTTTCTAAATCATTTCGTGGTTCTACTTTGTGTGGCGATGTAACCGGAAGTGAATGATGTCAGTTCGTAGATTTCCGTCTGAACTATTTCTGGGATTACCATTTTAAGTTGTTTTGGCAAATTATTTACCAATATACTAAATAAGAGACTGAATGAGTATTTGGAATGCCACAATTTACTTAATGAAGAACAAGCTGGGTTCAGATCACAATATGGTACCACTGATCATATGTTTTCCTTAAAGATGTTAATTGATTATTATTTAAGTTGTAATAAAAAGCTTTACTGTGCATTTGTTGACTATAGGAAGGCATTTGATTCTGTTAATCGACTTCATTTATGGCACAAACTTTTGTCACATAATATTGATGGTAAGTGTCTTGGTATAATCCACAATATGTACAGTAAGGCTAAATCTTGTGTTAAAGTAAACTGTGAGTTGACTAGTTTCTTTAGTAGTTTTACCGGTGTACGTCAAGGTGAAAATCTTTCACCAATTTTGTTTTCTATCTTTTTGAACGATTTGTCAGAATTTGTATCTAATAAATATACAGGACTTGTAAATATCTCTGACGCAACTCGGGAATGTCTTAGTGACGATGTCATTGATATGTAAGAAACATGGATTGGAATACCATTATTATGCAGACGATGGACAACTGTACCTCTCCTTTAAACCAACATGTCCAGTCTCTAAGAATGACTCTTTAGATCGAGTTCAAAGCTTTCTTGCGGAAATAGTAACATGGATGAACAATAATATGTTAAAAATCAATGCTGACAAGACAGAAGTAATTATATTTACATCTCAGAGAAACCAACAGCATGTTGAGACCATAACTGTGACTATCGGAGATGAAAACATAAAACCATCAAATAGTGTAAGAAATCTTGGTGCTATATTGGACAACAACATGACCCTGGAAAAGCACATTAACTCAGTTTGTAGATCTTGTTATGGACAACTACGCCAGATTGGTCATATAAGGAAATACCTGAATACTGATGCAACAAAATTTTTAGTGAATTCTTTAGTCACCTCACGCATGGATTATTGTTATGCACTTTTATATGGTGTACCTAAAACGACATTGAATAAACTACAACATCTTCAAAACACTGCTGCCCGCATCATAACAGGAACATCCAGATTTGAACATATCACTCCAGTATTGAAGAAACTACACTGGATTCCTGTGGTTTACCGTGTAGATTTTAAAATCCTTATGCAAACTTATAAAGCCCTACATGACCAGTCACCAATTTACCTTAAACATTTACTGGCGCTATATCAACCAACAAGAAACTTCAAAGCAACTTGTTGTTGCCAAAAGTAGGACTGTAAGATATGGTGAACGCAGTTTCTCTTCGGTGGCACCTAAATTGTGGAATACTCTCCCAGACAGTATCAGAGACTCAAAAACAGTAGATGTTTTTAAGAAATCTTTAAAAACACATTTTTTTCCAGAAAATTTATAGTAACTAACTGTGCTGTATTTGTCATCACTGTGAATTGGCGTGCTGTCTTTTGTTATGAGATATCTGGGTACACATTTGAAATATAATAGTCTATTTTTGAATCACATTTCAATTTGTATTGTTTACTGTTTTTATCAAATTGGATTTAGATTTCAGTTGTCTTATCTTGATTTGTATTTTTTTAAATCTTAATAGTTTTAACGTTTCTCTTTATTTTTTTTTTCAAGTCTTAGATTATTCTTCATGTACATTTTTTTATTTGATCGACTGAGTTTTAGACTTTTAGATTAATCATGTTATATTTTATATTTTGTAAATGTATACATATATGTGTGTTATTATTTTTATTACTTATTTTTGTTTTTAAAGTCATTGTAAATGTATATAATTCCATTGTAAAGCGCCTTTGAACATTTTATTTTTTGAGAAGGGCGCTATAAAAATGTGGTAATTATTATTATATTATTATTATGTTAAATTGTTTCTTTTGTTATATGCTGATGATACAGTGCTTTTAGCAGAAAGCAAAACTGATTTGCGAGATGCCTTAAATGCCATGAGTGAGTACTGTAATATATGGAATCTTGTTGTAAATGAAGCTAAGACTAAAGTAGTGGTCTTTAGTAAGTCAAAACCTAAGGATGACTTTGATTTCATGTACAATGGTAAAAAGCTTGATTTTGTAGATAACTTTACTTACCTTGGAGTACTTTTTAATTATAATGGTAATTTTTTGAAATCAAAGAAAATTCTTGTTGATAATGCTAGAAGAGCAATGTTTTCTGTGATCCAAAAGTCACGTAAATTATGCTTACCAATTTCTTTGCAACTACATTTATTTAACTCTATGGTTGTACCTATCCTTCTTTATGGAAGTGAAGTTTGGGGATTCGAACAAGTTCAAATTCTAAAGAAATTTCAGTTGTATTTTTGTAAATTTATTTTGAATTTAAAAGCTTCTACACCTAATTGTATGGTTTATGGTGAGTTAGGCATATTCCCATTAGCCGTACAAGTGAAAGCAAGAGTTTTGTGTTTCTGGAGTAAAATTATAAATGCTAAGGAAAATAAGATATGTAAACGTCTTTATAAAACAATGTTGTCTTTGTCCTCTAGGAATATTGTTAATTCTAAATGGATAAATTTTGTGAAAGAAACACTTAGTAATCTTGGCATGTCAGAATATTTTCATTTACAGAAGGTAGATAATATTAATCACTTTAAAAATATTGTGAAGCTTAGACTTCAAGATCAATTTTTACAAGATTGGCATAGTACTATTGATACATCCTCTAAGTGTTTAGTGTATCGTACATATAAAAATACTCATTGTTTTGAAAAATATCTAGATGTACTTCCTTTTGACATAGGCAAATATTTATGTAAATTTAGAACAATGAATCACCTATTACCAATCGAAAAAGGCAGACATTTGGCAATTGATCATAATAATAGGGTCTGTTCCTTATGTCCGTATCAAGCTATTGGTGATGAATTTCACTACTTATTTGAATGTTCGTACTTTAATGACATAAGAAAGACGTAAATCTCTTCTTCCCAGGTTTTACATTCATCCCAATATTTTTAAACTTGACACATTAATGAATAGTTGTGATAAAAATATTCTACTAAAATTATCTTTATTTTGTAAAAACATTATGTTAAAATTTAGATAACTAATACTTCTCATTCTCCGTTCCCATTTGTTACAATATAAAATACATGTTGTATTGAATTCAGTACTTGAAATGAACAATATGATCTCCTTTTTGTTTTTTTAGCTAGTCATAATTGTATTTTTATATTGTGATATTAGTTATTTTTGACTGTTATTTTTCTGTTTGTTTGTTGTTATAACCAGTTGCATATTATATGCCTTGGTTTAATAAAAACTGAAACTGAAAACTGAAACTGAAATCTGTATAACGTTTCATATATATTAAATGTGATTCTACCTTCCATATTTATCCATATTTTATGTTCGGATTTCTATGCAGTCTTCATCGAGATATTCTTTCCGTCGTAGGTTCTGGTATGCCCAAAATATGCAATGCATTTGAAGAAAATGCCGCTAAACGGACTCCAAATACAGAGTTTTCAAAAAAAAAAAATCTTACCACCAAACGATACTTAACATTCAAACAGACCATTATTGAAACATGTATTGAGATTGGTCTCAAAATAAAGGAATTGCTGGTCCAAATTCCATCTGAGCTCCATATGTGCTGAAGAGATCCATATGTGCGTGATATAGAAATTAACATAATAACGAATCACTTCCATATAACAATAAATGTTTTATTATTTTGTGTATCATTTTGTAATAAAAACTAATATTTCATATAGACACATTGCCCCAAGTCGAGCTTGGATAACATCAACTCTAAAAGATAAAATACATTTAATATACTAAAGGCATTGATAACAGCTATGTTTGTAAGTCATTGAGTTTTCAAACGTACTGCTATTGGAGCTTCTTTATTGTCACTTATGCCGGTAACGGTTAAAATGAGGTTTAATGAAGTAAAAATGCCGTTGTCACTTGCTTCATTAAAATCATTTCAAATTATTCCACCCCTTAGTATAATACACATGTATTAGTATTTGGAATGGATCATTGTCGCCATAGAGTACCTTTATTTTATAAAAAAAATATGTGAATACCAATTACAAAAAAAACTAAAACGGGAACAAAATAGCGCGACTAATATAAAGCGTTACTTTTATTCAGCTCATCCATGTCACAATAAATTACTACAAATTATAAATAGATTTAAGTTAATGGTTCTTTATTTTCCATTGTAATACAAATATTTATTTGAGTTTGCTTTGTTTATTCGTAGAATATTTCTTTTGAGGACAGTTTTATGAAAAGTTTTCTTGAAATTCACTACATGACACTCAATATGAAAATATTGTGCCTGTGAATGAAAATCTATTAAATACACATGCGAAATCTTAAAGTGAAATTTTATCTATACGAATTTCGACAATTTAGGGAAAAATTATATAAAACAATAGCTTTACATAGATATGACCCAATTCATCTGTCAGCTATTTAATCTTGTCCAAGCTGCGTTTTCTTAATAAGTGAAAAATTATTTATCATATCAGTAGTATTCGCTCTGTCATTTTTTTATATACAAGTACTCGGTATTTTTTTTTAAAGATTTCTAATGTTTTTTTATATTGCTAGCACCAGATAGTTAGCCTGAGGTAGGGATATTTACTTACCAAACACACTTATGTACTTTCAGCCAAAGCTACGGAACTTTAATCGTTCCCTTAAATTCAACTACTATATAAAAGTGATCCATAGTTTTGTAGATGGTTTCCTATATCATCTATGGATCTCTTCAGCACAAATGAAGCTCGACTGGAGTTTTGACCAGCAATTTCTTTATTTTGAGCCTATTCTCAATAAATGTTTCATTTAGAGTTTGTTTGAATGTTAAGCATCGTTTGGTGATAAGATTTTGTGATAATTCTGTACTGTTTTGCGACATTTTCTTCATACGCATTTAATATTTTGGGCACACCAAAACGCACAACGGAAAGAATATCTCGATGAAGACTGCATAAAAATCCGAACAGAAACGGGTAAATATGTAAGAAAGCAAGGAGGGTAGAATCATATTCCGATTTTCTTTTTAAAAAAAAGCTTTGAACTTTAAAGAAATGTTTAAAATGTTGAAAACTTACCCATCTGATTGGACTATTTTCTCCTTCTAATATCGAATAAAAGCTCACATCAGGAGCAGCTGATTCACATATATTTTTTACCGATGCTCAATTTTGAGATCCATATGGGGTTCCATCACCGTGGTTAAGTGAATTTGCGGTATATCAGTTTCATTCGGTTAGATTGACTACAAACCACTTGTTTCTCGTCACTATGAGCTCTATCCTTCTGATAGAAAGATGTAATATTAGCTTCTATATGGAATGATGGCGATGTTAAATACATTAAAACAAAATATTAAATTATGTCAGATAATAAAACACATGAAGTTACATAACAATAGTTAATCATTATTTGCCACAAAACTAACAACAAAACAATTCCATTTATATTTTCAGGTATTTCTAAAGTTATAACGAAAGAAAATAGAAGTTCAATGTTTGTGGATATTTCCAAAATGGAAACATTCAGAAAACAAGAATACATGTATATTGATAACAGTGCACACGAAACTTCAAAATTCAACGCTTCAAATTCCGAGATATTTTGCAAAGTGCATAGTAACTGGTACCAACGCTATTTTTCAACAAAAGTTACAACAAATTTCAGTTCTTGGACATTTGAAGAAGAACAAAATTGTTCAAGTATTAATATAACACAGTACATTCAAAAAATTCAACCAAAATTAACATTTGCATTGAAATGTGATGGTAAAACAGTTCAAATCGGGCAAACACCTTTCGAAGATGAGAAAGAACTGGATGGAACAATACCTTGTTTTAATTTTGGTGATAAGTGTTTGAAAGCATACTTGAATAAATGTTGTAAAGACAATAGACGTGTTCCAAATATAGTGCATTACGTTAGCTACAAGAAATCTGCTTTCTCATTTTTTGACTTTGTATGTTTTATAAGTGTTATACGTTTCGTCAGACCATGTGTCATTTTGATTCATGGCGATGCATTGCCGTCTGGGCCTTTCTGGAATAAAATGTTGAAGCTTTCTCCGAATATTATTCATGTTAGGCAGCAACCACCTAATAACATTTTCGGAAAGGCAATCTTATATAAAGAACACACTGGCGATTTTATGCGGATTGAGGCATTGATTCTTTATGGAGGAATATATTTGGATACAGATACAGTCATAGTTAAATCACTAGAACCACTCCGGAAGTACCCATGTACGATGTCGAAACAAGGCGGTTACATGGCGTCTTCGTTCATCATGGCGGAAAAGAATGCGTTGTTTTTACGGAAATGGTTTGACGGGTATAAATACCATTATAACAATAATTCCTATGTTTTTAATGCTATGATATACCCAAATCGTATTTATAAGAATTTCCCAGACTCTATTCATGTAGAAAATGGAACAATCTCTCGGCTAGTGAATCAAATAGGTCCTAGTGTGTATGAAATAAATTACAATTGGGCTGGTATCTATGGATTTCACTTGTTTAGAAGAAGCTATAGAAAACCTATAACTGTAGACAGCGTGAAATATTTTAATTCAACGGTAGGGTCTATCTGTCGGCATGTCCTATTTGGAAACAAAGAACTTTGCTTTTAAACGTTTGTAATTTGAAATTGAGTTTGTATAATGCTACGTACGCCACAACTGTTTATATAGGTACAGGCTGTGTGACGGCTGCTCTTAAGATTTATGTTTTACAAAAGTTTTGAGTTCTGTTTAACCGCACAGAGCTCCCAGGTACGCTGTCTAAGTGCAAAAGAGTAAAATGGTATTATTATATGATGCTGACACATATTCATTTTGAATATTTGTATATGTTCTTTTTTAATGGAACTAAATAAAAAACTTATTTCGGGAAGAATACGGAGTTTAAATGAGCCTGCGTATGCTTATTATACATAGAACGTACGTTCATGCGTATGCAATGTTCAAACAAAACCATATTTATATATATAAATACAACACACTTTTAGTATATTTTTTTCTTCTTGTATATAATGTATCTTTGTACAGACGATATATTTCCTAATCATTATGTGCATCAGACTGATCAAGAAAAAATATTATAAACTTATGTAATAAAATATTTATAGATTTGCATATTCACATTGTTATGACTGGTAATTTCATAATCGGATATATAAACTCCGACAAGTTGTCGAGTCTTATGTACTTTCCTAACGAACATACCTAATTACAAACAGAATGAAAGAAGGAAAAAAGGAGGAAGAAAAGAAAGAAATAAAGATATTTTAAGAAACAAAGAAACAAAGAAAGAACGTTTCAATGTTACAAGCGTGACCTGTATACCTTGTGTACCATGTCAGAGGGTTTAAAGTCCGTTAAAAATTTAGCATTTTATTTTGGAGGCACATTATGCCTCAAGAAACTTAACAAATTACCCTCCACTTTCCAACCCCCCCCGTTCGTCGGAATGTCAAAACATCAAACATAAGCTTCATATTCAGTTAATGGTTTTAGGGGCTGACACACGCTTATCACCTAAAAAGTTGCACTGAATATAAAATTCTTTGTCATAAAAGTAGCAAAATGTAAACAAAGTTGTATTTTACTTCCATCCAAAATACTTTGATCACTATAACTGTACTACTAAATACTTAAAGGCAACATAAACAGATGGTTCCGGTAATTTTCAAAAGAGTATTATTGGAAATTATAACAGTAAACCAAATAGAAAGCTTTTATAAAGGACTTTTAAAAAGTTCCCGGTTGTAAACTCCTACAATGCACATGAAAAATCGAGCTATGGTAGAAAATTAGGTGCATTCAGTCCAATTTACATCAATGGATAATCATCTAAAGTTAGTGTTTCCTGCGGAATACCGTTAGGGCCATCGTGGTTATACGTTAAAATACAGAGGGCGACACGTTAAAATACAGAGAGCGACGATGCAAGAGTGTGACAGTGCGATGACGACAATACGACAGTGCGATGACGACAATGCGACAGTGCGATGACGAAAATGCGACAGTGCGATGGCGACAATGCGATAACGCGATAGTACGATGACGACAGAGCGATAGTGTTATCGCACTGTCGCCATCGCACTGTCGCATTGTCGTCATCGCACTGTCGCATTGTTGTACTGTCGTTATCGCACTGTCGCCATCGCATTGTCGCACTGTCGTCATCGCGTTATCGCACTGTCGAGTATCGCCTTCTGGTGGACGGTTCTAAACTGCTGGCGAATAAGCTGACGGTATAGAATATGGGATAATTTTACTTTTGTCAATAATTATTTTCTTCTTGTTTTTTTCTTTTCCTTTTTATTATTTTTGTTTGTTTCTTTTCTGTATACAAATAGTGTTTAAATGAAATTATAAACTAATAATAAGAATAATTTTATATATAAATAATGAAAGAGTTATACATAGACGGAAAATGTAATAAATTGTGTGAAACTTTAATATCAATGTAATAGAAATATTTCAGATGAAAATGATCTTATGTTGACATTTAAAAGATGCAAAAAAAGTTAAAATCATTGTTTATTACTTATATAAAAAAGACAAACAAATTATATTCATAGATCGTCATCAGTGGTTTTTAATATTGTTTTGTAAGATGTATAATTTATTATATTACTTACATTGTAAATAAAGATACATGTAATTGGAAATTTACGTCAACACATAATTTTTTCTATATATCTAACATAAGTGGTCAACAATTTTCACTTTAAGATTACCTTAACAGCAGATCCTACTGTAAGTTTAACTGGTCAGCATATTGTAATATAGCCAACTGATTCTGCTGGTGGACATAGTGAGACAATGTGTTTCAATGTTGAAAAACACACCTATCCATTAAATTTAATCCAGAAAAATTCTTACTGTTTATTTTTGTTGTTTTTTGTTGTTGTTGTTGTTGTTGTTGTTGTTTTAAAGGAAACATGCAAACTTCGAATTACCAACTACCTGCCGGTAAGTAGTAGGGGATTAAGAATAACCAACTACCAGCTAGTAGGTAGTAGGTTATTTGAATATTCAACTAGCAACTACCTATCAAATTGACGCTTCTTCAGATGTTTATCAATATCTAAGCGACAGTGCGATAATGCGATGACGACAGTACGACAATGCGACAGTGCGATGACGACAATGCGACAGTGCGATGGCGAAAGTGCGATAACACTATCGCTCTGTCGTCATCGCACTATTGCGTTATCGCATTGTCGCCATCTCACTGTCGCATTGTCGTCATCGCACTGTCGCATTGTCGTCATCGCACTGTCGCACTATCGCATTGTCGCCCTCTGTATTTCAACGTATAACCACGATGGCCCTAACGGTATTCCGTACTTTCCAGTCATATTAATTCTATCATATTTTCCCCTACAGATTATCAGCGACCCGTAAAATCGCATCGGAATTATCAGCGGTATTTTACACACCGTATTACCAACAGATTACTGTCAATTTTAACCGATTCAAAAAAATAAGTACCAGGAGAAACCATTCCAACCATGCTAATATCTTCAGTTCATGAGCAGTAAGTTTAAAGTACTATATTTTTCTAATTAGCGTAATATCAATACACAAATAAAATTTATAATCTATCAGTAGTAATTAGTAAATTTTAGATGCCAGCAATCTGTCATCACACCCGCCGGTAATACACTGTGTTTTGTGTTCAATAGTTAAACTGTATTCGTAACAAAGAAATCATGATTTATTTAATGAGTTATTTCTTAGAAAAAGATCAAATCCCGTGCAGTTTTAAGAGTTAATCACACTAGCAGGTTCGAGTCACCTATAAATAGTCTGGTCAAAATGTATAGAATTTATTGCTCGGACAACAGCGACATAACTATCCTTCAGACATGCTATTTTGGAATTATTTAGTATTTCTTCTTATAGTCGCAGGATGGACTCGGGGTAAGAGTTTATTTATTTTTTAATGTAATTTAATTTTTTATTTCTTCTTTACTTGCCGCGCACTTTGTAAAAAGTGATAAAATTGATTGCTGTTTTGGTCACTTGATTTGATACTTTTCATGTCAAATATTTGTAGAACTGGTAAATATCATAATTTTAGATGAACATGGAGAGTATGACATAAGTAAACATTTCCCCGTTGATTGTGTTCTTCAATTTTAACATTTGTCAAAACAATATGAAAGTTGACTTTATCTGTTTGTATCAAATTTACTCAAATTTTTGTGAAGATTCAATTGGCTTATTAGTGCTGGGTGATTGAAATTACTACGGTGTTTGCTACCACATTTGCTGGAAATTTGCTGTATTAATTTAAAAGTAATAAAAGATGTCTTCGCTGGAGTTCATAAAGCCCACTTGTAAATTCCCCAACTGTTTCAAGTTTGGGCCTACTGGCGCCCATTTTTCCACTCTTATTTTAAGGATAAATCATAATCAAGGATAGTTTTGTTCAGACACACTATGAGAATCTTTTTTCAATTAAGTCAATTATATTAGAAATAAGGAGTTGCTGTTTAACAAAAGTATGAATATATCGTAACATGAAATAAGAAAGTGTTTGGGCATAAAATTGACATCCAATTTTTCTTAAATTGACATCTTGATTTTTCCCAATTTGAGCCGCAAGAATTCCAAATCTCGTGTTACTAAATCAAGAGCAATAACTCTATATAATACTGAATAAATCCCCAAATGCTTTATTACATATACTGACCAAAATTTGAGCCGCAAGAATTCCACATCTCATGTTACTAAGTCAATGGCAATAACTCTACAAAAACTGAATAAATCCCCAAATGCATTATAACATATACTGACCAAAATTCCTGAAAGTTTCATGACATCAGATCAAATACTTATAAGTAACGCGCGACAGAGAAGTTGAAAATTGCAAATTTTTACTACGTCAAGGGCAATAACTCTAACAAAATACACGCGGAATCCTAGTCGCACAACTTCACATGCTGATCAACATTCTTGTAAAGTTTGTCGACTTAAGCACGTGACGCAACATAGTGGGGTCATAAAAAGGCGGGAATTTATCTCTCTTTGCAGCACATCAAGAGCTTGTATGGTTAGAGGACTTGAACAGCCTACATGACCTTAGAGAATTAGAAACAGCATTGCCAAGCATGTTACATTTCAACATCAAACGATTGAGTGGCGAGAACATCAAGTTACACCTTCAAGAAAACAAACGCTTGAACGCCAACGCCCCTGTCTATGTTGGTGGGTCACTGAATGGTAAACATACAGCAATGGAGGCAGATGTCCCACTTATCTCTGTAAGATTTTGTTATTTTGTTATAGTAATTTGGCACTTTCTTTACAAAGTTATTCCCCTTAGTTGCAAGACGGCATATACTTTTACTTTTTCGTTTTTCTTTATATATACTCTAGTAGATCTATATATATTAAGACTCGGTTGTCTAAGAAATTTCGACATTATTATTATTCGAAATATTTGCATCTTTCATGTACCTTGGCATGCATAGGCATGCAAACATATTACTTATTTTTAGATGATATATATTGCATTATACTTTGATAGTCAGGAGTTATTTCCCTTAGTATTTTATATTGACAAAATAGCCCCACCCCCTTGAAAACGTAACTTAAATGCCATGATTTAATATATTACAGGGTACGAAGTTTTATCAAGACAGAAGTTTAGGAGCAGCTGTTAAGGTTTCATGTGCCGATATTCCAGATGAAGCCTGCAAGAGGGTTGTGGTAAGGTTCTGTTCTTCTGTCATAACTGTTGTAGGTACATGTACATTCTAAATCTAGTCTAGACTCAATCAAACCGAATCTGCAATTCTTATGTAATTTTGTAGTGATTAATGCTTCCGAAGGGATCACTTTGTTTCCAGATTTAGATTCTAAAATCATACTTTTTGCCTGGAATTTAGTGATTACGTTTTGTTCTTCCAGGCAAAAACTTGTAAATTTTAAAGGAAGATTCAAAAACCCCTCCCCCTGCCTGTGAAAAAGTCCTGATGCCGGCTCGCCACGGCGAGCCGGTATTACGGTAGGATTTTACTGAGAAACAACCTAAAACTCCGAAGCTATCCAAAAACTTAATCGAAGCTTGGCTTCCAGCTTTCTACTAAATTTATCTATCAGGGCTAGGATCCAAAATTATTTAGCCAATCAAATTTAATCTTACATAGCGTCAAAAAACCTTCAATTTTCACGCCATTTTTAAAAATCAGCAAGTATTGTTTTGAGCGCAAAGATATAATGATGATTAAAATGTTTGTCTTTATGAATTCTTTTCAATAAATCATATTTACACTGACTTCTGATTTAGCGATTTCACCTGTTTTCTCTGTAGTAAGTTTTCGTTTGGTTAATTAACATAAGTGTACATCTGGTTCTGTGCACTTTTTATTTTTCCCTTTTTCCGGTCATTTTATCCTTTCCGGTGTTTAGTGTATGTATTTACTGGCCGGGATCCGGGACGCCCGGGATCCGGGATCGTATAAGATATGGAGGAAAAACCTAATGAACTATATTTGTGTTGATTGTTGTCGTAATGAATGCCATTAAACGTTAATTTTTTTATTGTATATAATGAACGTTAAATTAATTTAACTTATAATATAGATATATTAAGAGCTTTTTATTAACAAACTTAAAATGCGGAAATCACAATACTTATAATTATATGCCTAATTTATTGGAAAAATCAAAGACTATTTTCTTGAATTGGTCAAATCCCGGGATCCCTATATGTTTTAGAACGATCCCAGAGATCCGTGAGATCTATTTACATTTTAATACGATCCCGGCTTTTCTGAAAACTATATTCTTGAACTGGTCAATTCCCGGGATCCCTATATGTTTTAATAGGATCCCGGCTTATCTGAAAAACATCTTTTTTTGACTGGTGAATTTCCGGGATCCCTATATTTTTTAATAAAATCCCGGCTTTTCTGGCTGAATTGATTGACAACTTGTGTTTACTTTAGGACTTGTGCCTCTCATTCCAATACTAAATAACATATATGTATTACAACTTAATTTTGTATAAAGTGACATCTTTATGAAATCTACCTATCTAACATTTTGTGGTCAAGGTCAACAGGCCATATAGTAAATGTGCATAGACATAGGTTCTTCATTCAATCTGTTTACATGCACCTTCATATATACTCATACTCATCTTGGTTAAACTGAGAGAACTTTATATGTCACTTTCAGTCAATGAGTTTAAGATTTTGAATTTACTGGCCCGAATTCCAGTTTTGAATTTATTCTACTAAATAATTAACAAAATTTTCTTAAATTTACACTGGCCTGAACTTATATACACTGGCCATCGGGCACCGGGCCAGTGTTGACTTTACTTTTATTTTGATGTTCGCTGAAGTCTCTTCAGCTAACAGAACTGTCATTTTTACATTTAAACACACCCCTTGAAAAAAATTACGAAGCGAGTCGCTACTAGCTTTTTTAAAAGCTAACCTTGTTATCATATGCAGCATTATTCATATGAGTATGTACACTCCTGCACATCGGCCAAAACATCCACTTCCATTCACTTTATTCAGTGAGCGTAGTATGAATTAAGTGAAAGATGTATTATAAAATGTGTTCTTGCCCGTTTAGCCTACCTTCAACAGCTTGCAGCAAGCTACTCAATTTAATTTCCAATTTGTGTTTGGTGCTTTATTCCCTATCATGATGTTAAATTTGCTTAAACTTCTTCCACATGGACAATGTCCTGAAGGTGAGCTTTTGTGATGGCCCATTGCATGTCGGTAGTCCATCGCCCATGTGTGCGTCCATCAAACAACTTCTTCTCCTAAACCACAAGGCCAAAATTGTTGAAATTTTGCAGGGATGTTTCTTACATAAGGCTCTACCAAAGTTGTTAAAAGAATTAAATTCCATAAAGAACTCTGGTTGTCATGGCAACCAAAAGATTATTTTACTAAAAATCATAAAAAATAAAAATCTTTTTGTAAAAAACCAAAAGGGCTAGAGCTTAGACATTGGTCATGAAACCTCTTCTAATGGATGTCTACCAAGTTTGTTCAAATAAAAGCCCTACTGTAGGGTCAAAATTGACCCACCCCAGGGGTCATTGATTTTCCATATATGTATATAGTAAAAACTTAAATATTCTTGTGACAATCCAAAAGCACTATAGATTAGGTATTAGTCATGAAACATCTAGTGGATGTCTTCCAAGTTTGTTCAAATTAATGCCCTAGGGTCAAACTTGGCCCGTTTTAGGGGTCATTGATTTTCCTTATATGTATGTAGTAAAAACTAAAAAAAAAATTCATGAGAAAATCCAAAAGAGCTAGAGCTTAGATATTTGGCATGAAACATCTTGTAGCGGATATCTACCAAGTTTCTTCAAATAAAAGTCCTGGAGTAAAAATTGGGGCCGCCCCAGGGGCTCATTTTTTTTCCTTGTTAAACATGTATATAGTAAAACTTAAAAAATCTTCTTGTGAAAATCTAAAAGAGGTAGAGTTTAGATATTTGGAATAAAACATGTTCATCTTAACAACATCTAAACAACTGGTTCAATTTTGAAATAATTTTACGAAAAAAATTTCCTTGGTGACAGTGTACAAAAATTGTTCACATTAAGCTCTCCCTTGTTTTCAAATTGTGCTTCAGGGGTGAAAAGAGGCTCCACTTTGACCTTTTTGACATATTTCTGAGGTGAGCGATCCAGGGCCCTCTGGACCCTCTTGTAGTTGTTTATATAAATGATGTACATATATGATGTACATTCTCGTTTAGTTAACCCCCTATTTTCAAGAATAGGTTTGCTAACTGAAGCATTGCAAATTTTATGTTAAAACTTGATGTAACAAATAATTTGAAATAAGTTATAGTCCTTGAAAATTACCTTAAAAAAGTGACTTTTTTAGACTTGCTTTTTAAAATTCTGTACAATTAGTTTTTAAAAGTGGGTATTAACTTCAATTTTCAACATTTTTCTCTAATATTGGTATCTATAGAGACTTTTATAATATTTTAAATAGTTCTATGATTAAATATATTAATAACTATTTCAGGAAGGCAGTGTTTACATTGATGGAGACAATTATGACATCAAACCTTCTTCCATCGCATACAATCTACGTTCAATGGGAAACGAGAAAAACATGCTGCATATCTTACGGAGAATTGAAGCACCCAAAATGTTTGAGAAAAATGGGAACTTGCGAGGGCTATATGGCGCTGACTTCAAATACATTCCTGGTATATATTTTTTTCCTCAGCATAACTTGTATAAGAGCATGTTCTGTATTTATTTGTGGTAGTTGTAAATATCTATATGTGGTATTGGAGCAATTTGTTAAGTGATAAGTGAATGGCGGGATATAGTTTTAAACCTAGAAAAAAATATATTTGATAACATATAAAAATTGAAGCCATTGTACAACTTACTGATGTTAAATCCTACTGAATAATAATTCAATGATTTAATGCACAAAGTTTTTAAGAGAATTTGATTTTACAATTGTGTTGTGTTAAGTAAAACTTTTCCATTGTTCATTTTTCAGATGAAGAAACAGAAGGTGCCTCTAGCCATGATCATAAACAGATTCCTGGTAATTTTATGATTTGAGCCATGCCATGACAAAATCAACATGATGCGTTTGCAACCAGCATGGATCCAGACCAGCCTGTGCATCCATGCAGTCTGATCAGGATCCATGCTGTTCGCTTACAACTCCTATTACAAGTAGAGAAACTGATAGCGAACAGCATGGATCCTGATCAGACTGCGCTGAGGCGCAGGCTGTTCTGGATCCATGCTGGTCGCAAACTCATTATGTTGGTTTTGTCATGACGCGGCTCATTTGTTATTATCATAAATGAAGGTTTATGTACATATAATTACAGGTGAAATGTGACTACTGTGAAACATGTGGTTTGTTTAAAATATGAATAGTGTTTATGTTTTGCCTTTGACAATCATTAAGAATTAGAACAAACTCTGTAAACATATCTCGGATCAAGGAACAATAAAATGCCAAATACAAGTTCAGAATTTAGGCATACAAGTATGTGTCAAGTGAATGTCAGGATATATTTTTAAACAGGAAAGTAATGTGATAGCAAAGTGTGACATGTATGGCACACAAACCCTGTCAGTGATAAGCTGGCTCACCACCAAGTGCAGTTTATGCCTTTATATATGGGATACCTTCCTATATGTTATATGTTAATTTATCACCTTTAGTTTTTGCATATTGTAATGCCCATCATGAGTATTATGACATTCTTTCAATGTCATTACACAAGTCCTGAATTTAGGGCTTTTTAGGCATACAGATATGTCACACAATTCTCTTATATACAGGTATATTTTTAAAATATACATACATAGACAAGAGTACTCAATAGTCCTTATATCAAGAATCAGAGTTATCATTATTCTTTAATATTTCAGGTAAGCCAAACAGGAGAGGTTTCTATGAAGATGATGACACTCTACTTCCAAGTAAGGAAATCTTTCTTATTCTTTTACTGTTAAATTTTGCCTAAATTTAGTGTTTTGACAAGAATCCAAGTAGTTTTTTTATGGACATTATGCAATAATATTTATGCATATGGGAACCTATGTAGTTTTGCTTCAAAAGAATGATTGCTTTAATGCATAAACATGAAAATAACTAAAGTCTCTCATTTGAATGAAAATGCACATGTATCAAATCTTAAAATACAGAAAGTGGAAAACCATGATTTGTTGGAATAATTGTCCATCAAACCATTTCTTCCTCAAAGACTATTAATTCTTAATAGGCATGTTTTACATGTGAATTAAAGCGCTTTCATGAGCACTTCTTTAAAGGCCCATTATGCCTTAGAAATGCTTTTATTTTAATTTCTCAAAAGCCTTTTATTTTTGGTGTCCTATTATGGTTTCCAAAAATCTTAACCATATTTTGCTTCTGTTGCTTTCTGGGAATTAGTAAACATACAATGATTTAGTATTATGGAATTAAAAAAAAATATGGTTAGGTTCTTTGTTTACATTTTGCTACTTTGTCTGAAAAATGATTTCACATTCAACTCTTTTTTTTATATGATAAGCATCTAAAATGCTCTAAACCGTTATTTAACATTATAAAACTCAAGTGTGAGCTTTATATGTAAAGAAAAAAATTAGTTTCTGAAGAGCCTTAAATATCCAGCTAGATCAATAATTTCTCAAAGTTAATTTCATACATAAAAGTATATATAAATTGTTAAATGAAGGGCTTTTTTTGTATTCTATTGCCTGTGAATAGTGGAATAAAATCATGGATGCAATACACATAGATTTATTAGATAATAATATACATATATATTGTTTCATGGCAGTAATTTGTATTAAAGCTCCTCCCATTTTTTAGGAAGGCCAAATGTTCCTCTACAATATGATGAGGAGTTACGATCTTTACTCCATGATGCGGAAATAGAAGACCAGATCAAAGTATGTTGGTCCCATCTTTTATCATTTTTTCTCTACTAGTCCATTATTAATTAAACTTATCTTTAATAATGTGCCTATAGCTTACATGTACTTTTATTAGCTCTACTGAGTAAAATATTTTCAAAATTAGCTGTGTCCATTGTGTATCTCTTCCTAAACCGCTGGTCCAGTTTTGTTGAAACTTACTTGGAGCCTCTTTCAAAGTTGTTAGAGGAATTCATTCCATGTAGAATTTTATCTGTCATAGCAACTTAAAGAACTTTGACCTCAATAAATCCCAAGGGCTAGTGCTAAGATATGAAATATTGCCCATTGGACCGCCTCTAGTTTATTCAAATTATAGCCCTGCGGTCAAAATTCGAGTTTAGTTAAACAAGGTTTATGTCATACAAGTAAGTAACCCTTTCTAGCAATCTTTATCAGCTGTGTTTATTTGGTCATTCATTGTCTGATTTTGTTAAATGCATTTTACAGGAACTGTATGAACATGAAAACAGGCAGAAAAGGGCAGAGGCAGAGGGAAGATTATACGCTGTTGAAATCGTCCTTGTGGTGGATTCAAGTCTTTGGGATAAGTAAGTTGATTCTTAAACTCATAATGGTAGTTGTCCAGTGATTCAGGAGGTTCTTTCTACCAAGGGATCATATAATAGAAATACTAAAGCATTTTATTGTCACAGGTACAGTTCAGCTTAGTGTAGTGATTCTTTTCAACATAATCTACAAAATGAACTAAAATCACTGTCGCATGGATCTGTTTCTTTGTCTGTCTGACTGTCCCCATCATGTCTGTTTTATAAATCCTTCAGGCCTACTTCTTGAAAGATTTTGTTCAAAACCTCTGACAGTCACACTGCTGTGCTGACTCCTGGTCCAGGTCAAATGTCAGATGATTTTTACATCTATATCTCTTAGCTCTATAAATCCTATACACCATGAAAGATTTTTCTTTTAAGTTGGCTCAAATGTTCACCTCAACAAGATGATATACAGAATTCTTCCTGTCACTGTCCTGGATCAAGGTCACATTTGGAAGGTCAAAATTCACACAATATTGTGTCTGCACTTTAAATAAAATAATTTTTGAAGAACTTTCTTCAAACTTGGCTCAAATGTTTATTTTCAAAAAATAATAATTTGACCTAACATAAAATCCTCAAACTAACAATGACCTTTACACATGAAAGGTACGAATGCTTTTAATATTTCAGATACTATGCAAAAGTAGAAGCCAACAACAGGATGAACAAGGACACTGCCACCATGTATTTTCTTCGAGAACGTCTCGCTCACATCATAAACGGTGTAAGTTACTTAATAAGATACTCAGCAGGTTGTTGTACAAGATCAGGGTAATTAACTAGGTTTTCTGACAGAAAATACTGGTTATTTAATTGGTGAATGTTCTTTTTATATCTAAGTAAATGAAAGATTTACTGAGTACAAGGCCTTAGAAACTTGTGAATGGATTTTGACCTATTATTGCTGAAAAGACTTGACTTGTTTTGTGACAATTCCAGTTGCTTGTTCATCTTTAAATTTTTTTATCAAATCCATTAAATCATACTTTCTTTGATATATACATATATTATTGATATATATTGCTTCTATAGTGTTATTAATAATTATGAATCAGAAAAAAAAAATCAATATGGTACCATTTTGTTACCTGTGTAAAGCCTTGCCAGCCTGCACATCTATACAGTCTCTTCAGGGTCTACACTGTTGGTAGCACATTGTCTTTTGACTTTGATGTTTGAATCTTTTAAATTCCAAATTGAAAAAACTGTGCCAAAGTCAAAGCTGGACAAGCCCATTACTCAAATTAAGCTATTAATAATATATATCATTTATTAAAAATGTAAAATGTATATTGTATACATGTATATTTAAATGCTTAGCTTGTTACAGGTAAGTTTGAGATATGAAGAAATTGAAGATCCGGCTATGAATGTGTATGTGACCATTTCACAATTTCTTATTTATAAGGTAAGTTTAATTGAGTTTGTACAAATAAAAGTACCACAGTTAAACTGATTTATTTTATAAAGAAAGGTTTTGTTAAAAAATGCTTGTGTATAAAGATTCCCCTTACTGTACACTGCATAGTTCCATTGTTTCTTACAAAGCTTATGTCCGTTGGGAATATCTAAGGTCGTTAACTTCAAACCACTTGCCTCTCAGCACTCTGCTTACGGTTTGAATCCCAACAGACTACATGAAGTTATCCAGCTAGCCAACAGAATTGTCTGTTTCTAATCAGGTGACTGTGCCTGGACGGAAGGGCACCTGTGATCTTCCTTCCAGATTTAAGCTGGAATGTCGCCATACGACCTATACTATGTGAATGTGATGCAACAACCCCACCCCACACACACACACATACACAAACAAAAAAAAAAACAACTAAAAAAAACTTTACATTGCTCTTTGCTTTTTACTGCTAACTTTACATGGTTTACCTTATCTTGTTGACTTGACACTGCTTACTTTACACTGTTCATTTTACACAGCTTACTTTACACTGTTCATTTCACACAGCTTACTTTACACTGTTCACTTTATACAGCTTACTTTACACTGTTCACTTTACACGGCTAACTTTACACTGTTCATTTTATACAGCTAACTTTACACTGTTCACTTTACACGGCTAACTTTACACTGTTCATTTACGCAGCTTACAACTTTTAATTGCCCATGTGTATATTTAATCTTCAAACAGCCTTATATTTAACAAAAGGCAAGTCTATTAAACAGTCTCCTGGTTGAAAGTCCAATTATCTTAAGGCAATATACTTGTAAGGAAAATATTTATTAGTGAATGTGGATTATATACCTTACTGTAATGTTTTCAAGAGTATAAGAGCATGAGTGAATATATTTTATATATTTAGAAAATATCTCTCTTCAAACTCCAGATTTTCTTTATTTAAAACTATATTTATTTAAAACAAACAAAATTTCTTTTCAATCTAAACCTTGAGTTTAAGCCAGAAATTTCCAAAAATGGTGCCAAAGGAATATTGAGTACAAGATAAAATTTCTCATCATGTATAATTATTTCCATACATATAAAGACCTAAAATACTAGATATTTTAAAATTACATTTACATTTGTATTTTGTTTTCCTTATACAATTCTCAAATGTATGAATTACCAATATTTCAAATTTTCATTTACATAAGTAATTTCATATATTTTTAGAGTAGAAATGCATCAAATCCACTGTCACCAAATGTGGAAACACCATCGAGGGATGGGACAATATATGCTGATAGTGACGTGTATATTGATGGTCTTGTTCAGTGGGTAAAAACGGCACCAGTAAACGAACATGATGACCATGTAATGGTTATAACTGGGTAAGTAAAATAATAAAATAAAATAAAAAAAAAACAAGTGGAGAGTAGGGGGGATTGGGTGTGAATCATTGGTTCAACTTTATCTTTTTCAAGGAGCAAGCTGTGTTTTGTAAATAAAGGTACTTTCCTACATACAAAATATTATTGCAATGGTTTGAAAAGATGACAGAAAGTGCCAATTCCTAAATAAGCTTGTATTTCTAGAGGTAAGAGACATATAAATCATCTAGTTTTATGTAATGTTTATACATAATTTTATTTTTTCATGCCCATTCTTTTTTCAAAAAAGATCGAGGTCAAACCATTATGTAGGCTAGAAGCTAAGGTAAAGGTAATCATGTAGGATAAAGCAAAATTTACCCTAAATTACCAACTTAATTTATTTTTCTATCTCTTAACCTTTTCCCTTATATAAGCGTGTTTCGACGGCTTTTTGCCCCCCCCCCCCCTTTTTGAGGCCTCAAACAGTGAAAAAATGTCCTATTTAGACCCCAAACACTGTTTTTCGTTTGAGAAATGTTGTTAAAAAAAGTGACAATTTTTTCGGCGCCGTCCCCCATCCAAATAATACATCAGGGGGTTGCCAGAAGGGGGATGTGCCCCCTTCTGTTTGGGGGGTTTGAAGGGGAGTGGCGGAGTCCCCCTCATCGCCAAGAAAATTTTGGACTTGTGAGAGGCTTAAAATGACCCCAGGTTGATCATAAGGTAACGTGTAACCAACGCTGAAAAGCCTTTGACTCTATCTCAATCCCTTGAGAAGTTGCAGCACTTTGAAGTAAATTTTGATGGAAAAAATCGAGGCAAAAATGTGATTTTTGGCAATTTTGAGATGTCCCCTCGTTGCCATGGTAACATGAAATTTAAGACTGAGCATGTCGTTACAAAGGCAATGGTCCAGTCAACATTTGTGCCAAGTTTGATTAGTATTGAAGCATTTTTCATAGTTTCATAGCAGTTTGAACTTGTAAGAGGGGGCTTTTCAGTGAAAATGGCCATTTTTCACAATATGCTCATGGGGGAAAGGGTTAAAGCTTTTATTGTCTTAAAAATCTGCTTAAAAATGCAAATAGTGCATCATATTGTCTGAGAAAAGGCCAAGCTGCTGTCTCGGTGTTTTCACAGATATCAGAAAGAGGCTTAATATATTGACCATATCAAACTTAACAAACTCAGCAGAAGAAGTTTTTTAACTGCAGCCTCATACACCTGTCTCTTTGTTTTGAACAAAATGTACTGATACATGTACAGTGCCATCCATAAATGAGCTGTGTCATGACAAAACCAACATGGTGCGTTTGCGACTAGCATGATTCCAGACCAGCCTGCGCATCTGCGCAGTCTGATCAGGGTCCATGCTGTTTGCTATAATTTTCTCTACTTGTAAAAGGGTTGGTAAGCGAACAGTATGGATCCTGATCAAACTGCGCGGATGCACAGGCTGGTCTGGATCCATGCTGGTCGCAAATGCACTATGTTGGTTTTGTCGTGACGTGGCTCAAATACCTTTACTACTCCTGAAAATTATTTCGATTGATATACAAAGTTTCGTTTATTTGTAGATATGAGCTGTACTATGACAATAACATAAACAATAATGGTGTGGCGGGCGTGGCCTATGTGGGAGGTGCTTGTGGGTCGTACAGAGTTTCTGTACAACAGGATGATGATTACTTTGTCGTAACATCTGTGGCAGCCCATGAGCTAGGACATAAGTATGAGCTTTCTCCATTTCATTTCTCCATTTTATTTTACTAACACTATTTACTTTGTTATGAGGCAAGTTATTGGAGTAATATTTTATTTGTTTCTTACACTAATATAATTATATACATGTATATGGACTTTACATAATAATGCAATGAGGTCTATTGAATAAATACCATCCAATTTTTCCAGTTATTTCCCTTTTAATCACTTTGAAGTTGGATTTGTCTTAAATTTCTTTAATTATTAAATATTATCAATATATTTATTGATATCTTCCATATTTGGTAGGAGGATACCTTAAACAGTCATAATTTTTAGATGTTTAATACATAAATACCAAGGGAGGTCCTATTCCTTTGGGTTAAGTTAAGGGTTATTTGGGTCAAGGTCAAGAAAACTAATGCCAAGTAGATTTTTTATGCTTTTAAAGCTGTAACCTTATCTATTGACAGATGTCTTTTATATTTGGTGAGAACATAACTTGAAAAGTCTACCTATGAATTGAATAAGGGGTCAGTGGGTCAAGGTAAAGGGTGCCAAAAATAGATTTTTACACATTTGCTTATAAATCCTTTATTTAATAAATGGTTTTTTATATTTGGTAGGAAGATAAGTGATGTGGTCTTCCTTTTGACTTTGTTAGGGGTCAGCGGGTTAAGGGTGCCAAACACAGATTTTTACACATTTGCTTTTACAGCCTTTATTTGATGACTGATGTTTTTCATATTTGTAAGGAACATAACTTGCATGATCCAGTGTTGGGAATCACAAGGTAAAGGCCACTTGTGCTTACAATAGAGTTTTTTACACTTATATAGCCTTTATTTTTTACAACCAATTTCTCATATTTGAAAGGAACCTACAGTTTGGTTGGAGTTTGTCACTGGGTTCCAGGTCAAGGTCTTGTATTTATGTATATTTGATAAACATTTATAAATAATTTGGAATATTATAATACACATGTAATAGAAATAACATGCCAACTTCCTTTTTTCATAATGACAAAAGGTCATGTTAAGTTATATAACTGTTTTTACTTTTTTTGGGACAATTTTTCTGTCAATAACTGAGTGAATGGTATTTTTTTTAAAAGTGTTACTGACAAGAATCGATGCCAGGGGGCTATTGTGTTTACCAAGTGTGTTCTTGTTTGTTTCAGTCTTGGAGCTGATCACGATGGTTCAGGATCAAGTTCTGACTGTAAACCACGGGAAAAGTTCATCATGGCTCCGTTTATAACAACATTCAGAACGGGTGAACCATACTCTGTTAATCCATGGCGCTTTTCACAATGCTCAATTGATGCATTCAAAAAGTTTTTCGGCAGGTAAAATATCTCTCACATTGTTGAACCCTTTAGCCAGTATTTTGTATTAAGTAGGCTCCTCTAGCCTCCAGTTTTGGCAATGTCCATATTTTTGGCAAGCCGCTTTATTAAAACCCATCTTCTTAGGCCAGAGATGATTTAAAGTGAAAATAATCAAATCTCTCATTAAAAAATAGTTCCAAAACATGAAATAAAAAACTCATTATAGATGTCAATACTATTCATATCTTAAATGATTATTCTGTATTATGTAGTTATGTCTGAATAAGTGCGTCTGATGATGCTTTGCAAATTGCAACTTTTCTAACTATGTATATTGGTAATGGAACAAGGCACTTCACCCCCTGACACTTTAACCCTCAAATTTTGAGGACATTTCACCCCTGAAAATGTTTCACCTCCCAAATCATAAATACACTTCACCTATCAACCCTTATTTTTCTAGAGTAAACATTTCTTTAAAATGCCTCTGGGGGTGTCTGGAGTGTGAGGTGTCTTTGGGGTTTGGGGAGGGGTTGAAGTGATGTAATAATTGGCAATATGTTAAATATTTGCTTAGCTCTACTAATGAATTTATTATTAAAAATCAGGACAGATTGCTTTAAAAACTATAATTTCAGACTTGGAGTACTTCAGTTTTAAATTGGAATGCATTTCTAAAGGGCAGGTTACTTTAATAAAAAAAAAAGAATTTCAGAATTATGCCACCTTTTGACTTTGAATTTCTTGGTTAAGTTTTTTGTTAAGGCACATTTCTCAAAGTATCAAAGATGTTCACATTAAACCTTAGGTATCTGTTCACTATCAAATTTGTAATGCATTTGTAGGGGGAAGACAGTCCTGAAGCTGTTTTTGCTTTATCATTTCCCTTGTTTGAATTTGAGTTTTTACTTTATTTTTTCTCCAACCCTTAAATATTTTGAAGTATTTCACTATCAAGGGCAGGTAAGTCTTTTATTTGTGTTTGCAGAGTAATACCCCATTTTCTATGTTGCTTGTATTTAACTATGGAACAGTCCTGAGAAAAGTGGAGTGTGCTGTTAGTGAACAGGTCTCGTTTTGGATTAAAAAATAAATAATATGATAATGACTATGTTATAAATTATAATACTTATTTGATAAAATTTGATATCAATTGGGAGATTTCACCTTTGTGAAGTAAGATTGGTGAATTTTTAAAGACATATACCACATTCCAGTCATTTATATTGTAATGTAAATAATGTAATGACATTAACCTATTATCGTTTGATATGTCTTAGAATATGTCCTCCGATATACTGTCAATATAATGCGTGTTGATTGGAACTGACAGATATCATGCTTCCATATTTTTTCGTTTATTTTGAATTATATTTACCATTAGATTTACACATGGATGAGGTGTAAGATAAGCATTTACTTATTGTTTTGCCCATGTATTGCCATTTAAAATTTGCGGGACTTGCCACTTACTGTTAACAGCACTTTAGGTGCTTTAATTAAATGATCGGGATATAAAGGAAACAAAATTAATGTTAACCAACAGTTTTAAGCCTGTTCAATCTGTACTTTCATTTCCAGATAATTTATTTTTTCTTATTCTGTTATTTTTTCTGTACAAGTACTCATTGGCCAAATCGCTTGAAGATAACTGATTTTTTCTTTGTTATTCAGTGTACGATGCTTTTTGGACCATGGTGACTATTATGACAAGAATGAATGGGATGAGCACAATAAGCGGTTACCTGGTGAAAGATTTACACTCGACGAGCAATGCAAACTTATTAGGGGAGATAACTCAAGATTTTGTAGAGTATGTATTATATCACTTATAGATAACTTTGTAATGAGCTCAGTAGATTATTACATAGAGAAAGTTTAGATCTGTAATCCAGGGGTTACTTCTTCCGGCCTCAAAGGCAAAACTTCTTGATGTTAATTGATCTGAGACATTTAATAGAGTCTTGAGGCCATTTTCCTGGCACTTTAGTCTCAATATTTCTACTGCAAGACCAACCGATTTTATAATCTGATATTTCATAGATGTCTGTCTTTGCGAAGGGGGACCATCGTCTATATATATAAAAAAAAAGCCATAAAGCGCACAATTTGTTTGGCTACTTGCACTTATGATCCAGAAATGGGGATAAGTAGTCAAGTTTGGGAGAAATTGATAATTACTGGTTTGTTAAGCTGGACTGACTGCTGACATATGGCCAAAAGTGTGTTGTAATTGGTGTAAAAACCAGACAAAGATTACTTAACATTTAATTATGTTTTTAACTTTAATTTGTGGAGTTAGACTTTATGAAAGGAGCACAGTTATTTTGTATGCCTGAAGACTGTCTGGATGTTTTTTGTTATGGCATTGACCGTCTGTCTGTCCTGTCTGCACTACCAAATAGGGACAGGGAAACAGGAAATAGAGGACAATAGGAGTCATTCTGTAACAAAAGAATATGGCCCTTTATTAAATAAAAGAAAGTAACAGAAGAAATGGCCCCTTATTCCTTTTCTGGCGCATGACCATTTGTCTGTCCATAGACAATTGGTTTCTACAGCAGACCTTTTGAAGAATTTTAAAAACTGTTTATATTTGGTCTGTAAGTTTTTTAAGTTGAAACTCAAGTAAACTGTAATTTTGGCTGCAATCAACTCATTAGGAGAGTTATTCCCCTTTTAAAGCAATTTGTAAGTGAAATTATTTGTTTCTGCAGCTTGATTTTTTAAGGATTTTGTGTTTGTGATTATTTTAGTGTTTGTGTTATATTTTGCTTATAAGTATGTTATACATACATGCCATAATTGTTGGGCTAATGTCCGGGACACTTTTCATTTGTGTCTCTGGTCAAGTTTTGGTTGCAACTTACTCATTTTAAGTTATGCTCCCTTTTAAGCATAATTGGTTTCCGCAGAACATCTTTTGAAGGATTTCAGAGTTTATATTTGCCTAGTACATGTATGTTATACCAAAACATAGGTACAGTGCAATCATCACTGCAATCAAGTCATTATTAATAATAGAGTTATTCCCCATTTGAAGCAGTTTCTAAGTGAAATAATTGATTTAAGCAGGAAACTTTTGAAGGATTTCAATAAGTATTTGAAATGAAATTATGTTATGTTAATATCTAAATTGATTTTAATTGCAATCAAACTCATAATTGTAAGAGTAATGCCCTTTTATAAAGAAACTTCATGTGAAATTATTGGTTTACATGTATATGTGTCTGTATTTGGCATGCAAGTATCTCATATCAAAACACAGGAAATATTTGATTTTCTTTGCAACCTTATTTTATGTTTGATTACTTTTTATCAAAATGAAATCGGGTCATATTGTTTAGATGCCTTCTATTACTAATATGTTAACTTGTTACTTTTAAAAAAAACAAAACTGTATATCATTTTTTTACATTTGATGGAAAAAACATTATCTGAGCCATTTACAATAATAAATTTGCAATCTTTGTTTAAGGCACATTTTTGTCCAAGATACATTCTTGTAAATTTGCTAACTGGAATATATATTGCCCCACCTCATCTGAGCTCTTGTAAAAGAAGGTAGGTATATTAAGTTCCTTGCAAGGACAGTGAATATTTTTTGGGTAAAAAAGCCAAAGTTAAGTGTTTTTTTTCTTGGATACTGTGCCCGAGATGTGTATGGAAGAGCATCTCTCTGGTATTAAATATTTCATAGACCTCCAGTCAGTTTTCTTTATTGTATAATTATACAACCTGTAATCTTCTTTATAAACAGCAAGCAGGCCAGGAGTCAAACGAAGAAATATGTCGTGTAATGAAGTGCTTACAGCCAGGTGCTAATTATTGTCATTTTCATGCTGCAGCTCGGGGAACCCCATGTGGTAAATCTGGACTAAATAAGGTGCCTTTTGTTTTATAGATAATTAAGCTGATATTTTAATTTTCAAATTGTTAGGTTGGTTCTTGTATTTATGTTGCCTAAAGAGATTGAAAAAACAGTAAGAGGAATTGTTGTATCTTAGAGAACCACAACTCAATTTCAGACTATTATAATAACTTAAGTGTGAGGAAGTTTGGTGACAAAGACACATAACTCTACATTACTTTCTGTAATTATTTCCCTTTAATGATACTTAATACTGCTTTTCTGGGGACAAAATTTAAGCAGTATTCAAGAAATTTGATTAAAACTTCATACAGTGATAGAGACCAGTACCAGGAAGTGCTTTGTACAAGAACCATAATTCTGCCTTGCTTAATTTTAGCATGCATGGCCTTTAAAGATATTTCTTGTTTTCAATTTTTGTTAAAAAAAAATATGAAAAATATGAATTAAATTTCATTCCTCATCTGTTTGTAATTGGAAATAATTTACATTGCTGACATAATGACAATTTTTCTGCTAAATGGGCTAAAATGAACTGGCTTCAATTATTAATATTGTTTTATCAATTAATGTCATTTGGATATGCTGCTAAAAATTATTTCCAGTATTTTAAGTTCATGTGAGTGCAGACCTAACAAGATCACAAAAAACCCAAAAAAAACAACAACTTGGCAATCGGGGGACTGATTAAATGGCTAAGTTCTATGTGTTGTTGTGTTAAATTATTAGGGAGACAGCAGTTATGAGTTTGAAACCCAAACATGGAAAGTGTTTTTTTTAGGTGTTTTGAATTATGAATTGTTTTAACATAATGTTTAAGCTTTTTTTGTCTTGAAACAAAAATAAAACTAAGTTTACTTTATTCATTTTACACACTTGATTCAAAATATAACTTACAGGTAAGTTATTTTGTGCGTTTTAAGCCTGAATAAATGTCTATCATTACAAGGTTATTAAAGATTTTCTAAGTTAATGCCATTAGGATTTATAATTTTAGATGACGAATTATACACGATGTCAACTATCTATCATGTTACCATAAAGAATAAAGTGACACCTAAGGGCAGTAATGGGTTAATTCCTATAATATGATTTAATTGGAGTTAACCTATTACTACAATACTCCTAAGATAGCAAAATGTTTGAGAAGAGTTACATGTATAGATTTAGGAATTTACCCAATTTTTGCTGTCTTCAGTTATTTATACTCCTTTTATTTTAACATTAACATTTATATTTTGTATAATTTTACTATTCCAGTGGTGTATCGATGGCAAGTGTGTGGAAAGAGAAAGTATTGGTATGTTTTGAAGAGAAAGAATTCTAGCATGATCGTTTGAAAATATTACTATAGATACTTTTCACATAACTTAATATTACTATAGATACTTTTCACATAACTTAATATTACTATAGATACTTTTCACATAACTTAATATTACTATAGATACTTTTCACATAACTTAATATTACTATAGATACTTTTCACATAACTTAATATTACTATAGATACTTTTCACATAACTTGCATTACCTCCCTTGCCGATATTTTGAGAATCATGCCTACTATATTGTATGCTTCAGATTAGATAAAAATCTCCCACAATTCTATTATCTGCATGTAAACTGATGAAAATTTTTCAGGCATTGATGCTACAACAATGTTCATCACTATCATATAAAAAAAACAACTTGACATTTCATTTTTATTTATTTTCATATTTTTTGTCATATACTAGTATATTGAATTGTATATAGTAGTATATTGAATGGTAACATAGTTACTTATCCCCTCAATCCAACCTCAAATGGCTTCCACACTTGTCAAGGGAGGTAAATATTGGAAAAATAGGAAACTACAGGAACACATCTCATGAGCTCCATAAATTACAAAATAATGGTTGTTGAAATAATTATTTGCATTTTCCTATTAGCTTCAAGGAGTTACAAATTATTACTGAATTTTAGATATAAATGATCTGTGAAAATTATTTTGTTAGATTAGATTAAGCGAAATTTGTTGGTACTAGAACACAATTTAATACTGGTGCGGGACAAAAGTGTAATATAACTGGTACAGGTTAATATTCTATAACATACAGGTCAGTACTGGAACAGGTTAATACCAGTGCAAGTCAGTACTGGAACAGGTTAATACCAGTGCAAGTCAGTACTGGAACAGGTTAATACCAGTACAAGTCAGTACTGGAACAGGTTAATAATGGTCCAAGTCAGTATGTGAACAGGTTCATACCAGTACAAGTCAGTACTGGAACAGGTTAATACCAGTACAAGTCGGTACTGGAACAGGTTTATACTGGTACAAGTCAGTACTGAAACAGATCAATACAGGTACAAGGTACAAGTCAATATGTGAACAGGTTAATACCAGTACAAGTCAGTACTCTTACAGGTCAGTGAACAACATCTAGGATTGCTCTTAGATCTATGAAATATGATTGCAATTGAGCTTAAATCTGTTTTGTAATGAAGTCACATTCCCGACTTAATTAAACAGCTTTGTATTGAAAAATTTTACTGACATAAATAAAGAACTTTGCTATAAGAATAAAAAAAGGAAAGTAAGCATGTTCATATATTCTTCATAGGCTCTATATGGTTTGACTTATGTTGTATAGATTTTGATTAGGCTTTAAGGATAGGTCTGTTACATTAATTTAACAGGATAAAGGGTAAAAAGATAACCATGAGAGTGCCTTTCTCTGATAATTGTTCAAAACTTGTATGCTTAAAACTTCAATTTAAGGTTTTAAACATTTACCAACTTAAACTTAACTCTTCACAGCAACAACAAGGAGGCCAGTTGCCACAACCAAATCCCAGCGCACCACAACACAATCCCGGGAAACCACATCACAATCCCGGGAAACCACATCACAATCCCGGGAAACCACATCACAATCCCGGGAAACCACATCACAATGGTCAGAATCCACATCAGAAGAGCCGAGTACCACAACAGAGAGTACCACATACTCCACAGAGACTACTACTGGTTCCTGTATTGATAGTGGCTGGCATGGCTGGTCTTGCCAGAGGCTTTCACGCTTTTTCCTCAAATCATATAAATATGAACCAAGTATCTGGTGCAGGGATAAATATTGGGCACATATTTGCTGTGCTTTATGTTATGGTAAAGTACACTTATACATTGTTTTAAATCAGATAATTAACTTAAGTTTAACTTAAGTTTAAGTTAACTTTAAATAATAAAATAGATCATTTAGGAACAGTGGATGAATATCCAAGAATATCATTAATCTAGTGCTTTAATTTCTAGTTAACAAGAGGTTTTCACATTCTTTTTTTAGCTCGCTAAACTACATAGTGAGCTATTATGATCCCTCCCCAATCTTTTGTGTCACTAAAACAAATGACTGGATTTTAATTGGAATGATCCTTTATATTTGGCAATAGAAACATAATCATGAAATTATAGCCAGAGATCATTGGTTTTACTTCTATGTATAAAAATAGAAAAAAAAACTTAAAAAGTTTTTCTGAAACCCCAGGTTGAAACCCAAGGTGCTAGAGCTTAGATATGTTGCACAAAACATCATTTAATGGAACTCTACCATGAATGTGCATGTTATTGCACTGTGTTCAAAATTGGTCCTGTTCAGGGATGTTGTCATGTGTTTTAAATGACTATTAGTTAAACTTTCAAAACTCTTTGAAGCTAAAGGGCTAGAGCTTAGATATTTAGCATTAAAACAGTCACTTAAATTACGGCCCTGAGGTCACAATAGCCCTGACTGGAGGAACATTGGTTTTCTTGTAGGTTTATAGTAAAACTTTAAAAAAATCTCTGAAAGTCCAGGCCTTGAGCTTAAATATTTGGCATAAAATATTGTCTAGTTGACCTCTTACTCTGCTGACAATAAGAAAAAGTGTGTTTTTTTTGTTTTGAAATATTAATATTATCAAGTATAATTTATTTAGCATCTTCACACCCTACAACTACCCAAGCATGTGTTGATGAAGGATACCATGGCTGGAGTTGTGAAAAAGTCTCGAAATATTTCAAAAACCGTTACCACCTGGAGCCGATACATTGGTGTTCTGACCCAAAGTGGGAGAGGAAATGCTGCAACTATTGTGCACGTGAGTGATTCTCAAATTTCAGTCATGATTGATTTTTTTATATATGAATGTTTGTCTAATTAAGAGTTGTTCTTTTTTTCATACATATACCCAAAAAATATGATAAACCGCCCCTCCCCTCCTATAAAAATTGAACTAAAAAGTATCTGGATGGACAATAACAGTAAACTTAATTTGAATTATCATTCATTTAGGGAATGTACATGATGATAATGATAAAAATCGTAAATGTACTTGTCCAACTTTCAATCTGGACTAAACCATTCAATATTTGTAGGAAAGTTTTCAATGACTGACTTGTGCTAATTTCTTAGACAGAATCAGTTTCAATGTTAATAAAAGATAATATCTTAACCTTCATCAATTATAGTTAATTTTCATACACCAATTTCAAAAACTGGTTATCAATACCTTGTAATTTAGGTCAATATATGCAATGCCATTGTCACAAAAGATGATGAAATATACAGATTTTGTGCAGAGCATATCTCCTACACACATTGAAGGATTCTAATGAAACTTCATGAAATACTCACCACTACAAGAAGCATTGTCATGTGCATGAACCAGGTCTCTTGGTTAAAGATTAAGTTCACACTTAGAGGTCATTAAAAAAATGTTCGTTTGGAGAGAAACTTCTACCTTTGTCAGGGGATATTTCAATGTAATTTGACGCAAATGTTCACCTGATTTTGAGGCTAAGTATTGAGCGCAAAATCCAGGTCCCTGCTACCAAAGTCAAGGTCACATAGAGAGGTCAAAGTAGGTTTGTACATGGACCATTTAGTCACCATTTATTGATGGATTGTAACACAAATGATAACTACAAGAGTTACATACATAATTAAGGTTAATATTTGCAAGGTCAAGGTCACTAGAGATGATAAAATATCCAGATATTATTTGGATATTGCCCAAAGCATAATTATCTCCTATATGCATATCTATAATGCCTACATCTGTCAAAAGCTTTTGTGATGGGCGTATTTTTCATCAATGATGCCCTTGTTCATAGATCATTTTATCATATCTGCAGTTCACTTTATCATAGTTCATTTTATCATACCTATAGTTCACTTGATCATAGTTCACTTTATCATAGTTCATTTTATCATACCTGTAGTTTACTTTATCTTAGTTCATTTATCATACCTGTAGTTCACTTTATCATAGTTCTTCAATTTATCAATTTTGCCTTCTTACTCCAATGGTTTGTTTATGACATTGAGGAACTTGCTTTTCTATTTGTTCAGGTGTGAATCCCATTGAAAACATAAAAGTCTTTCAGACCATATCTCAAGTGGTTTTATCTTGAAAGTTGTTTTACAAAAATGTTGTAAATGTTGGTTAACATGGAAAAAGAGGCTTTAAACAATATTTTTATTCTTTTTCAGATAATGCATTTTGATTTACCTTAACCATGGCTGAAATTACTTGAATTTGTCTCACAAAGGACAATCTATGATAAAAAAACATTGAATTTCATGTTTAAATATTGTTTTGGAACATTTTGTGTTTGAATGTTTGTATTTGATTAAACCATTTTGTATTCGCAATATATATAGTTATAAATTATTTTTCACAATTTGTCATGTGATGTTTACCAAAGAGCATTAAAGTTTCTTAGAAAAATGGTTTATTAATCCACTTATTATCTTCATTGAAGACAAGGGTCTTGCAAAAGAAATTGTAGCCAAATGAAAACAAGGCAAAACAAGAAACATGGCAATGCCATGAAACCAGGTTTTCAATTATCACCATTGTAGATAAATATGTTGTATTTGAAATACAAATACAAGCAACAAACAATGTAACTATGTGCAATGTAAAACATGAATAATGTAGGAGGAATTGCGCACAGAAGTGTTCACTATATATATTCTGTATAAGGAAAAACAACAAAGGGCCATAATTAGGTAAAAAATTATTCAATCACAAAACCCCGACAATATGTGCTAGGGCACTTGATGACAAAGCTTCTGTGAAAGTTTGAACAAAATCTGTTGAGAAATGTAGGAAGAGTTCAGCACAGAAGAATTTGTTCAATTCTGTATAAGGAAAAAAAACAAAGGGCCATAATAAGGTCAAATATTATCCAATCACAAAACCCTGACAATATGCGCCAGGGCACTTGATGACAAAGCTTCTGTGAAAGTTTGGTCAAAATCCGTTGAGAAATGTAGGAGGAGTTGCGCACAGAAGAAATTGTTCACTATATATTCTATATAATGAAAAAAACAAAGGGCCATAATTAGGTCAAATATATACCAATTGCAAAACCCTGACAATATGTGTCAGGGCACTTGATGACAAAGCTTCTGAGAAAGTTTGGTCAAAATCCGTTGAGAAATGTAGGAGGAGTTGCGCACAGAAGAAATTGTTCACTATATATTCTATATAAGGAAAAAAAACAAAGGGCCATAATTAGGTCAAATATTATCTAATCGTTAAACCCCGACAATATGCGCCAGGGCACTTGATGACAAAGCTTCTGTGAAAGTTTGGTCAAAATCTGTTGAGAAATGTAGGAGGAGTTGCGCACAGAAGAAATTGTTTACGCCCGCCCGCCGACATACCTCAATCTAATAACCAGTTTTTTCCTTCGGAAAACCTGGTTAAAAATCAAGATTCCTTGCTTGACCAGCTTGTGGAAGATTTGATTTATACCAAAACATAATAAACAATCCATACAGTTATTTCAGAAATTAATAAAAAAAACCCAGAAATTCTTTATAATAAAGTAAAGTCTGAAAAAAAACCCCAATGAACTTCTAGCCGCCACCTTGTCCGTCCTGCATCTTCCACACTCTTGTCTATAGAATAACTTGTAGTGACATGCCTTATTTGCTACGAATCCATCTGCAATACAATATGCACAGCATGATCTGAAATGATTGCAAATTTTTACAAGGACATTTAAGTTTGTCCTGCCTGAGTGACTTTGAAATCTTACTTGTGAGGAAGATTATGTACCTAGCTCCCCTCCTCCAAAAAAATAGGAAAATAAATCCAACCAATAGCTTATCTATAACTTGGGAAAGAAATTACTGAAAGAAGGCCGACTAAGTTTGGTCGAGATTACATTAAACTCCAGCATTGAAGACTATTCACTTAACTCTCATCTTAAATTAATCTCAATTTCCTTATCAACACTATGCAATGGGCTACATGTAAGAAATAATTTAAGTGGATCTGAGATATTTTGTTCACAGAAAACCTGTTTACACTGATGTAAATCATGTCTCTGTCCTAGAGTCACAATTATCCGAAGCTTTACGGAAATAACAGAGCAATCTTCATTAATTAAAATGATATTCATCCGCGTAACAAAATTATTTGAATCTATTTCCGCAATCAATCGGGAACTATTTTTTTCCCCTCAGAGGTTTGATAATTAATGCACCTGTCATTTGACAATCATTACACAGTGATCTCCCCTTAATTTTTCAGCGTTAGTGTACTTATAAAGGGAAGTAACCGCTTTGAGGAATTCATGATGGACTACTTCTGGATTTTGCATAAAGCATATCTGGGTCTGAAATTTTGCTACCAAAACAAAAACCAAACAAAAACACTTTTTTGTATCTTTATTTTTTTCCATTTTTTTTTATTGACATCAATATACTTTTGGATGTAATTTACAGATTTTGCTAATTTTGTGTACAATGTCTACATCATGAATTTAAACATTGAATTTACTTTCTCAATACATAATTTTACAATGTATACACATTTATTCAGGTATTACTAGGGGTGTCACATTTACAAATTATCTCTTTATAACGGATACAGCTGGATTTTAGCTAAAAACCAGTTAGAAAATTCAAAAACCAGTAACTGAGAAAGGGGTGAAAATTTTTTAAATTGATTCTAAATAATACCTTAGTTTTTTATAACAAGATATTGACAACTGTTTTTTTACGACCCTAGTGGAAAAAAGTTACACCATATTCGGAGATGTATTGTAATCATTTTTGAGTACAACAAAACATAAACAAAATGGCCTATCTTGTCATAAAGAAACAAAGTTAATAAATAGTATTTAACATGGTTATTATGTCTTAGTTAAAACGGTAAGCATTAAATATTTTTTTCTAACTGTGACACCCCTAGGTATTACACTGTAAACAGCTGATAAAAAATAAAAAGATTCCAAGATAATGTTGTAATGGATGGAACACCTTAACACAGTTTATAACTCAGCAGATATAACAATTGTGTAATATTTTCAAGTACAATCATCAAATACTACCCTGAACTTGAGATTCTAAACTGCTCATTGAAAGACAATAGTTAAAAGCAACAAAACAATGTTTTTAAAAAGACATACATGTATAAAAAATTCTAAAATGGAAAGGTCACATGTTACTTGCTGTTTGTATTATAACTGATGTTTATTAACATAAGTGTATATAACACTTACATGAAGTAATGTCATCAACACTCTAAAGTAAAATTGACATTGAATTGGCCAGTTAAAAGATTATTTTACCATTTCTTTTTTTTATGTTTTCTAAAAAAAAAATAATATAAAATTTCATATTAAAGCATTTTTTGGGAATAACATTTCAAGTTAAAAGAAGACTAGATTTGTCGTCCAGAACTATACTTAGTATGACTTAGTATGACCATGAAATCAATAACCTGGTTGACAGTGGTTAAGTTACTGATAATCTTTGCCACCAGTATCCAGTCTGACCAGCATGCACAACCACATTGTTTGACTTTGCTTTATAGTGGTTTATGAAATTACGGATAACCTTTGCCACCAGTATCCAGTCTGACCAGCATGCACAACTGCATTGTTTGACCTTGTTCTATAGTGGTGATTAATCAATTTTTGTGTTTTGATACACTCTATTTAACTCCCTGTAATTTTGAATGGCAAATCTGTTTGGCGGTACGCAGAATAATATGGACAAGAGCATGAGCATGCTCTTGTCCGTATCCTATTGTCAAGTAACAAAATTGTGACCTCTCACATACCATTGATGGAGTTTTCAAAATATTGTTATTTTTTTGTTTGTTTGTGTAAGGTTTTCCCTATCATCTGTTTGTTAAATACAGACATATACATGATTAAATATGCAACTAAACCTAATACCAATCTTCAAAGATCACTCAAAGTAGAAAACCAGAATGAAATAAGTAATTACTGAACAGTTAAAAAGCGTAGATATGTTCTAGATTTTAAGCAAATAAAATAGAGTAAATAAAATATCTGTAATAGAAAAGTGTCACTGCAAAACTTCACATTACAATAAAAACTTAACGTGATAAGAAGTACATTCGTAAAATCTAACATTTAGCATGACCTAGTAAATGCTACATTTTGTATTACATGTACCTAGTTTACATTTAGCAGAAGACCTACTTTAGCAAAAAAACTGAAAATTGCTACATTAAGCAGAAACGTGATAAGTGGACATTTAGCAGAAATGGGAATAGTGTGCCTTTAATAATTAAACAAAAACAAAACCTTGTATATTTACCATTTTATTTTAATTTTAACCACAGCTGCCCCTCCCCCTCCGAAATGGGAATAGTGTACCTTTAACAAAGTAAAAAACCCTTTATATTCTTACATTTTTAGCCAACCCCCTTCCCCACACATCAAAAACAACCAAATAAAACCATACAATAAATAATAACAGTCAGCCTTGATGGAAAAAGTGTGTTAGCAAAGTGAAACAGTCTGCAATTAGCAGGAATTATTTCTATACGTCATTCAACAACGTTTAGATTCTGGAAGATTCTAATCTGTGTCAAAGGTGAACTTGACACTGTATATTCAAATAGTTTAACACACAAATAGTTTAAGTTAGAGATCATGTAACTTTCTTATGATGAAAGCTTTGGATTTTTAGTTCCGCCACAACTGAGATCATTTCTTGGACTAACCAGTACATATGTCACATCATAATGCCCACCCTCTTAATCTGGATTGCATTTAAACATTTTACTGCTTAAAAAAATATGGCAAAAAACCAAACTGTACTCTATGGTATTTCAGTAACATATTTCTTTCCTCCTCCAATGTAAATTGCTAATGCCCATAGCCATAGGCAAAATTCATGTTTTAAAATGGACTAGTGATACCAAAAATCAAATTAACAAAACATTAAAAATACAACTTTTAATCTACATTTATATACAATGCAACTTCTTCAAAAGAAAATATTAAAATAATATGATACATATATACATGTAAAAAGTACATATATGTGATAACCTTGCTAATTAATCTATGAACACAGGACTTGTGATATTGATAAAATGATATGTTGATATCAACATGCCATACCTCAACAATCAAACTTTAATAATGACCTTTTAACAGTTACTTTCCTGGAACAGAAAATTGTTTAGCCTTTGCAACCAATACGGAGCCACTCAAACCTGCACATCCAGCCAGTCTGACCAGGCTCTATACCGTTGGTTGCTTGTGTTATGTATTTTGACTTTGAAATCCATTTTTAAACTTTGCATGGACTGTTCATAATTCAAAGCAAGGCAAATCCATTACACAAATTCAGCTCAGGTAGCCAAATTTAAAAAAAATATTTTTTTTTCCTCAGAATTTGGAAGTTGTCCGTTAATAGTAAATAAAAGGATTTCAGCATACTGAAAATAAATGTCAAGGTTCCAAAAAAGATAATTATTTCTGACTAGAATGCATGATATGCCTTACAAAAATGTCAACTGTGTCCCAGAATAAGTTGATAGTGTCCCAAAATAAGTTAATTGTGTCCCGGAATAAGTTAACTGTGCCCCAGAATAAGTTAATAATGTCCCAGAATAATAAGTCAATTATTTGTCAAAACAATATAACTAAACCTTAAATTCAATTAACTACCGCGTATTCCAATTTGCCAGCACCAGGACACAGAGATACACAAGGAATATTGACTGTGATCTATGCCTACCATTATAACTTATATCACTCAAAACATAAACTTGTATTCAATGAAACATTTTTTTTCCATACAGACTATGAATTATGAATACAATCAGGGTTTTCATTATTAACAGATTGGCGTTCCATATCATCAGTGAAAATCAGTTGTATTTTCAGTCTGTCAATTAAAATATCAGCCTTGACCCTTGTTTATATTGGCACATCTGTTGCCTCTTATAAAAATGAAAACCCTGATACTGAATTCAGATTAATTCATTTTTTTGAGAAAAAAAAATCTGGATGAATTCAGCTTATACAACTTTGCTTGTATACAAAATATTGACATTCAGACATACTGATAAACTCGATAATAACCGTTCATTTCTAATCATATTACTTAATATCTTTATATAAAAATAGCTTTATCATTTTTGGTATAATTTTAGGCAAGTCAATAAAGTTGTAAAGACATTAAGTTTAAAAAAAGTATCATATACATGTACAAGAAAAAACTTTCAACATGTCTAAAGTGTTAACTATCAGATTTAATAATAAACATAAGTTTTGATCATGTAAATTTATAGTTTATCACGGCGGACAAAATGACAGATGTAGGACACACTTAAATTTGTTTTAAAACATTATTGATATAAATATTAATTCTTACATGTAACATGATTTTGTTGGCAAAATTTTGTAGCTGCTCACCAAATATCCACAAAGTGTAAAAACCTTTTCATGTGATATAAACTCCAAACTGGGGACAAAAAATAACATGTTAACCTCATATAGCATGAATTTAGTTACTTTAAATTACAAAAATATCAATTTAAATTATATCACATCAGTTCTGATTCATCAAGTTTTCACAATTCTTTCAAAGATTTGCAAACATTATTCACACCTAACATAAAATAGATGACTGTTTTAACACAACATAATGTTAAATAGTAAATGACTGATTCTATAAATAATGAACACAATCCAGCATTTACAATAAATAAATAAACTCAACTAAACATGATAAAACACCGAAACAACATTTGGTGTTTGCGATACATCAAAGTTTATACAAATGAGCCGCGCCATGACAAAACCAACATAATGCGTTTGCGACCAGCATGGATCCAGACCAGCCTGCGCATCCGCGCAGTCTGATCAGGATCCATGCTGTTCGCTATCAGTTTCTCTACTTGTAATAGAGTTGGTAAGCGAACAGCATGGATCCTGATTTCACTGCGCGGATGCACAGGCTGGTCTGGATCCATGCTGGTCGCAAACCCATTATGTTGGTTTTGTCATGACACAGCTCAAATGTCAAGCTTGTCTGTCTCACTTTCTGTCTGTTAACTTCATTTTCACGTATTCAACAAAAACATATGTCACTTTTACCAATTCAGTATAATACATATATCATTTTTACCAATTCAGTGTAAACAGATATCATTTTTACTTATTCAGTTTAAACAATTATCATTTTACTAATTCAGTATTAAAATTTAAAAAAAATTCCAATCCAGTGTAAACAACTTTCATTGTTATTAATTCTGTGAAAACAGTTATTGTTTTAACAAATTTAGTATTAACAATTATCATTTTCGCTAATTCAGTATAAACAAATATCATTTTTACTTATTCAGTATAACGAATATCATTTTTACGTTTTCAGTGTAAACAATTTTCATATTTTACTTATTCTTTATAAACAATTTTAATTTTTACTTATTTAGTATAAACTATTTTCATTTTTTACTTATTCAGTATAAACAATTATCCTTTTTACTCATTCAGTATTAACAATTATCAATTTTATTTATTGTGAAAACAAATATGATTGTATTTATTATCTTTACAAATTGTGAAAATAGTTAATACTTTCATATACATTATGTTTTTGTGAAACAATTTTCACTTTTGATAATACTTTCTTTCTTTTTTATTTACTTATTCACTCTGCAGAAAAAAAATGAACACAATGACAACATTTGTCTCGATGTTTATATGGTAAACACATTTGCATAATCTCAAATTAATAACATTTTGTCATGGACATGATTTTTGACCCTTGGACTACACATAATGATATACAATCTTTATGAAGTTATTCAACTACTGAATATTTTTTTGCTGTAAATGTTTCATCAAACTTGTGTGTAACCATTAGTTACTTCAGACTTGTGTGAAACCATTAACCTGTAGCCTGGGATTCAGGCGTTGATATTTTTTTTATTTATTCATAACTTACGCGCTATTTCATACTCGATCGTCATAGATAACACAACATCTCTGGTTTTGATAGTATCAACTGTCGATTTGCCGAACAGAAGCACATAAAAAAATCGACAGACTGGAACCCAGGCTAATTAACCTGCTGTAGTTCATGTTTTTTAGTATTTTGATACTGAAATCTTTAATGGCAGGTTCAATATTCAAAGCAGAACAAATCCAGTACACAAATTCAGCAAGTTAACAGGTAAAATATGACACACAAAACAATATTTTTCCTAAGACATGTTAGGGATGACACAAGAAGCAATATTTTTTCTAAGACATGTTGGGGCTCGGTTTCATTGAGCCTTCATAGATTAAGGACATGTCCGTGTGTTTTGGGACATGTTACCATAATCTACGCCCCCTAGCGATGTTTAATGAATGATAAAATATGACACAAGAAGCAATATTTTTTCTAAGACATGTTGGGGGCTCAGTTTCAAGACATGTTGGGGCTTGTTTTCACTGAGCCTTCATAGATTAAGGACATGTCAGTGTTTTTTGGGACATGTAACCATAATCTACACACCCTAGCATTGTTTAATGAAATGCAAATGATAGTGGACATAAATAAAACGAAATGAAAATAAGTTTAGTTATTAGTATGAACAAATAATATCTTGGCAAGCCAAATTTCGAATGATGGCTCAATCATTACAAATAAAACAGTCAATTGACCCTTTTACCGCCATTATAACAAGATCCTGAATAGTTATCATATAAACCATAATGATAGGTCAGTGTATCCAAAGATACAAGCCCATGGTGACAAAATAAATGTACAAGGTTGCACAAAGATATTAAATGATGCCATCTTAGATCCTTGGAGCTGACAATAATAATGTATTGATGTTACCTATTAGAAATATTTGTATTTCTTTCAGTTTTTATTGTAACTTATTGCTATGTATTGGTAAGGATGTGACAATTCTGGACTCTATATTCACATACTGCATGTTCAATTTGTAAATGACTCATTTTGGTCACTTATCTTGTTATATAATTACAGTAGGTACAGAAAGTCTAATTTAATTACCTCTTTCTGTATATTCTTAAAGTAATCGAAGGTCTTCTAAGGATGCAATGACATGAAGATATCGTTTAACACCAGACCGTACTAACATCATAAGCGGAATTCAACATGTCTTAGAAACATTGCTGCATATTTTTCCTGTGCTGACCCTAACAAGAATATGAGAGTTTGTGATTTTAACAGTTCCTTTTATACTTCTGAGCATTCACTTGCTGTATGATTTCGTCTTCTTTGATTATTTGCTAACTGTGAAAAACTTCCGTTGGAACGTGCAATTGCGAGTAGGGACGCTGCTGGTGATAGGTTTGGCGTATTATTAACGTTTGTGCTGCTATGTGCAATGATTTGTAACACAGCTTCTGATTGGGCGGGTGTTAATCCACCGAGTCTTTTAGTCATTTCCGCTTCCGATATATTTGAAAGGTTCGACAAGTTGCTGCCCATAAGTTTACCAAGTAATGTTGGGTCCATACAAAATAATGGCAGGAAGTCACCATGATACCGTTCATGCCGATCTCTGTCTATAGAATTAGCTGGTCCCCAATCATTTGTAGGCTGCATCTTCATCTTCATCAGCTGCAAGGAACCAAATCATAATGCAGAATATACATGAGCCAAGGGAGGTAATTGTAACAATAAAAGAAGTTATTTCCCATTAATGAAGCTACAAATTCACTCTCAATTCAAACATCTGTTAAATATTGATTATATGTATGGCTTACAATATAAACAAAATGGCTGTTTTCATTAATATATTGAAGAACTTTATGAATTTTCTGCACAATGGGCCATCAAAAGCCTAATAAATAATGGAAAAATCCTCATGGAAAAAAATACCCCAAAACATGTGATCATTTGTTACAATTATTTACCATGTCCTGACCTGCATAATATTTCACATGTATTGTAAAGTCTTAACCAAGAAGTACATTTAGTCCAACAAAATAATTTTACCAAAGTTCAACATCTTTTATAATGACTATTTTTCTTATTGCCTAATCCAGTGATTTGACAATGGGAAATATTGGGAAAAAGTATATACAAACATATGAAAAAAAATACAAATAAAATCAATGTTTTACTATACCTCATAACCGCCGGAGATGTAACAGAATTCATAAAGGAATGTTCCCACAATAGCTACCATAGGGAAGGCAGCTATAAGCCATGATACGACCAACGCCGACGCGGGATATGTGATGTTGTCTAGATCGGGCTCTTTCCAAAATACAATGTTCATTAAGATAACAACCTACAAATAAAAAACAATGTGTAATTTATATAATTTTTTTTAGATGACAGAAAATTAGAAGAATTTTACTCTTAAAGTTGCACTCTTTTTGATAAATAAAGAAATATTCAAAATATTTCACTGAAGAAAACAGTTTAAGCCTTAATTAAATGTATATAATGATTAAATATTCAAATATCTGCAAAATATAGCCATATTTCATGCTTTTTTTACCTTTGATACAAATGAAGTAAGTGCTATATTTGCATTTTTTGGAGACATTACAAGTATATACATGTATAATTTCTGTGTCTAGAACATGCTTTAGCCAAGGTTAAATCACATTATGTGTACCGTAAATTATGAACAATTTCTAGATTTTCATAAAAATCTGAGTGAATCTAAAGGCACACTGCTTCAATTTCCACAAATTTGTTTAATTATTTAGATAATGGATATATATAATATAAATTTCAATTGCATACAGTCTCTGAATAGGGACAGTCTGTAACACAGGTTTGTCAGTACATGTGCACTTTTTACGAAGGAAATAGATATCAATTCTGATTCTTTATTTTCTAAGTTAGACCATTTTCTATCATTCTAGATAGTTTTCAGAACAAAATTCAACAAAGTTGTTTGTTATTTATCAGACTTTCAAACAAAATGGCACCGTTAATGTGTCGGTTTGAATATACAGAGGGAGGAAATAAGAACAGCGAATGCATTGTTGTGAAATAGATCACACTTCCAGCCTTCTTTGTTAATACATGTATAAGGCCTTCTTTGTTTATATAAGAGGAATTTCTGATAGTGTTAGCATTAGTAATAAGATATCTTTTAAATTAAATACTAGAATGGCCTTGTCTTTTTTGCCCCTGCTGATTTCGTTTTAGCCACTGCATAATTTCATATAATGTAGTCTATATACAGTACTAATAAATTCCAACAAACAAATTAAAAAGATTGAGTGGAAGGCATTAAAAACCACTTTCCATTTTAGGAATAACATGCTTTTAACAAGAGTACATTAACATAAAATCAAGCTGTTCCTTGACATATATTTTTATTTTTATCTCTTTAAAGGGACACCACTGAGGTTTTTTGACATAATGGGATGGGAAATAATTTTTGGAGATTTATTTTTCATTTGATATTGGTTTAAACCAAAAACTTGTGTGCCAAATTTTAAGATCATTCAAGTCCTCTGTTGTTTTTTTTTTCAGGAAAAATTACTTCATTTGTGTAAAATGACCTGAATTGGGATAAAAATAGCACAAAAAATATGATTTTCAATTTATATCTTAGCATATTTCATAATTATTTTCTACATATTTCTCTTTTTTTTTAAGTTTCCCAGCTATACTATAAAAACAATTCAAATTTTATGCTTTTAGTCTTTTAGACCTCAGTGGAGTTCCTTTAATTAGTTGCTAAAAGCTAGCTGTCTTAATAATAGTACAAAAGATTGAGGAGTGTTTGTCAATGTACATACTGCAATAATGAATGGGGTGATGAATTTCCAACAGATTTTCCAGAACAGGTTTGGTTTCTTTCCTAACATCATTTCAATGTCTTCTGCAAATCTGTCAAAATCTGTAATACAGAGCATATAAAATCTGTAATATAGAGCATTCAAAATCTGTAATACAGAGCATATAAATCTGTAATATAGAGCATTTAAAATCTGTAATATACAGCATTTAAAATCTATAATATAGAGCATTTAAAATCTGAAATATACAGCATTTAAAATCTGTAATGTAGAGCATTTAAAATCTGTAATATAGAACATTTAAAATCTGAAATATAGAACATTTAAAATTGAACTATTAAACTTAATACATGTATATTGTTTCATGTGATATTTGAAACGTATCAGTGAGATCAGGGGACTTTCTAATCTGCCTGATGAGATATAAAAGTGATAATTTTAAATGTAATTGAAATAGTTTTTAATTTTGTCCCTCATATTTATAACTAATGGAGCATTCCTCCAGAACTGTGCAAATATTGATGACAAATTGACAACATATTGTATTAAGTAAAAGAGTTGTCAAGTTGATTTAAACCTTGCTTATCCACAAAGATAACATATAAGATATCTAAAAATGCAAAAAATAATCCTTATTTTGTTAAAAGGTGGAAGAAATATTGTGATATTAATAGTAATTTCTATCATATTTCGCATAAAACATTCAAAGTGTAAGTTACTAAGATTTTGAATGTTTTCTACTTTTCTTAAACTGTCACTATATTTCTCTTCCGTCAGATGTTTTTGAAAATTAGTTTGCTCAGAATTTGAGATGTGCCGTGGTTAAGTCTGACAGACTGTCATAATTCTGATAGCAACATAATAAAGTAAAAAAAACACAAACAAATATGTTGAAATAAGAGTTCCATTGTCATCATTTTAAGCAAAGCAAGAAAAAGCATTGTATTGGAAAATTTTGAAAACAAAATCCATTCATGTTGCCATGACAACCTAAATTCTAGAATGATTATCTAACCACAAAACAACAGTGGATCTAGTTCTCAAGGTCTTTTTCTTATCACAGCTATGCATAAAGTATTTCTGTAACATGTGCTTCATTTATTTTCAGCTGAACATTTCAGCCGCAGAAAAAAAAATGAAAGGAAAAAAAATCAACTTTGACACTACTTAATTTGTACAATGGGCCTGCTTTGTATTAAGAACTATTCATTTTAATAGATGGGGTTTAATATATGAAGTTTTATAGGAGTCAAGCAAGTAATATTATCAGACTACATGGATATGCAGGTGGGGCATACAATTAAATTTGTGGGTTGGGCCTGGCTTTTTACTGGTGCGGCATAGGAACAAATTTGTGGGTTGGGCCTGGCTTTATACTGGTGGCATATAGAATTGCATTTGCAGGTAAGCCTGGTTTTAAAATGGTGGCATATAGAAACAAATTTGCAGGCTGGCTAAATTTTGAAGGAACATAAATGGAAAGATCAAATATTCAATATCAAGAGCCCTTAGCGATGGAATGTATGAAAAGATAAAATAATTGATACTATGAGACCTGAACTATGAAAGAACACTATATTTGATCTCTTTTCATTTATTTAATGAAATACAGATACAATATTTGATGCTATTAAACCTAAATTATGAAGGGGTGGTAATTTGTACTTACGATATATCCAGCATAAGGAAATACACTCAAGAAGACCAACAAATAGAAGTGGAAAACCGCTCACACTGTAGTCTACCAGGTTCAATAACCACATACCTCCCTGAAAAACATCAATACATGTTTAATACTCAAGGCTATATTCTTTTTTGTTTTGCTTTGTTTTTTTTTGTTTTTTTTTTTAAATTTTGCTTTTGTTTTTTCATATCACTTTAATTTCAGTTCTGTTTCCAGTCAAAACAAAATTCTTGCCCAAAAAAATTTCTTCAGAAAAAATGGTTCATTTAGAATACTCACATTGGTCGTCATGGGAACACCCAAGAGGAAGCACAAGACCATAACCGTAGTTCTATATGTGAAAGACCTTATTCTGGAGCTTGTAAACCAAGCTGGATATTCATCTGCAAAGGCACTTAGAAGACATTCCACCATCGAAAACTGAAGAAAGGAAAAATACAAATGAAGAAAGGAAGAAAGGAAAAATACAAATGAAGAAAGGAAAAATACAAAAGACTTATAATGTTTTTTTCTATTACAATGAAAATATACATACAGATTCAAACACATGTTAAGCATATGAAACATGGATTTTTCATTTAAAAACAGTCAATGAGAAGTTAGAATACAACATGAAATTTAGAATTCAAATTTATTTTGATGTAACAAAGTATGAACAAATGCATAAATATCAGTAATTTTATACTGGGAGATATTTTCTTTATTGCTCTTTGAGTACCATTCTTTATGAATTACATCAAAAAGTGCAGAATATATGGCAAGTTTATTTGGTCTTGATGCATAATATATGATACACATTTTCCTTTCTACTGAAGATATGAAATATATTTCACTGTCTTTGCCACACATCAATGTGAATAAATATACACAATATAAATAATATTTTCTCACTTCTAAATGAAACTTCAATCTATTTTCATTAGAAATAATCAGAGACATAGATAACATGTTATCTATGTCTCTGAAATAACAAATTACCCTGTTAATATGTTTTTTAAAACAAACATTACATACCCACGTAAATGTATAAATTGTCAACAATTATATCAAATGACTTTTTTCTAGTTTCCTCTGGATAATAAATATTGACATTAAATGAACAATATTTAGGATATAAATTTTCCATTCACCACATAAACTCATGGTGATATTTATCTCTGAATACATTTGTAAATTAATGATTATTGGTAACCTACTGAGAAAAGAACTTAAACAATATTGATTGAGGACAAATTCTTCTCTACCAGCGTTCAATTATATAGATATAAGGCGATAATTTGACAGAGAGTTAATTACTTTAATCCAAGGAATAGATAGTGAATGATATGTTAACAGTGAGAAGTTAATACCTAAGAATAAACTTCAACACTATCAATAAAGTATTGAAACTTATTCTATGATAAATTTGTTAGTAATGCTAAGAAATCTGTGGTTTATAGTTAATTCAAATTATTTTTATTTTTCCTTTTTTCTCTCTGATATTTCTTCTAAATTTGATATTCTTTTTTAATAAACAGTGTGCAGTCAAATTGCTTCATATAAAATTAGTCTAAGTAAAAATCTGTTTATAAACTTAAAATACCAAAATAAGAAGTAAAACATGATTTTTTCATGTGACTGGTCATAACCAGGAAAACATTTGTATATGAAATAAGGTTGTATGTTAGTCCTATAAATATGTCCTGCTTGGAGATAATTTAACTTGTGGCAAAGCAACCATCATAAACTAGATCTATAACAAGCCCTGTAATGTCTAATATATTGTACTAGGTTCTATATATGACTGGGCTATAAAACATTGGCCTGTGGCAGATACTATAATACTCTGTTGTATATATATGTTTACCTCTGATCCAAACCCAAGCGTTAACATCATGAGGAAAAAGAAGACAGACCACAATGGTGCTACTGGCATCTGAGCAAGGGCTTCTGGGTAAACTTCAAAAGCCAAACCGGGTCCTGAAAAAAGAACATAACAGTCAATAGTAAATGGCAAAGGTATAAAAGCATGAAAAGTAATCAATTTCTATTAATAATGCAGTAAAGCATTTTCCTAGTAAAACTAGAATGGAACGGTTTCAACGTCAATCTCTACTACATATACATACCATTTCAGTTAGCTTCCCAGAGAAAATTGATGTAAAAATAATTACTTTAGTTATATGGATAATCAAACAGTGGTAAATGGTTTCAATTTACTTTATTTTGCCAACTTAATGCCGATTTAATCAATAAATAAACCAAAACCATGAAAACACACTTAATTATAACGTATTTATTTCAAAGTTTGACCTTTGCATAAAGGCAGCGATAAAGATCAAAAAGAAAAGTTCAAAAAGAGAAGTGTAAATGCTGAGCGAAAAAATATCAACTCCATTCCTTTACCACACATTTGCTGATCGGTTTTTGCATACTACTTTATTATATTTAATTATTTTTTTATAACTATCTATATATTTATTATTTAGATTGGGGTTATTTTTATAAATTATTCTATAATATTTTACAATTTATATTTTTTATTTTTAATTGTTTATTTTAACCCCTTTAATCATTGTATTTATACCATCAGTAGCAACAGCAGCAACAGATACCCCCTTCTCATGTGCAATAAAACCGAGGATGGAAAAGATCACAAAGCCTGCAAAAATACTGGTTGCACAGTTCACGCACGCCACAATGAGCGAGTCCCTGTAGCAATTGTTGTCAAACTTGTTATAACTCGACATAGCGATCATACCGCCCGTACAGGCACTCAGAGAATAGAAAATTTGGGTTGCTGCATCCGACCAGACCTAAAATGATAAATTATAAGTTTTATAAAAATAGTTTTTAATAATACCTAAAAGTAAAACCCCTAGAAATCTTGATATTAAAGATATAATATGCTCAAATTTGATATATGAAATTGTTGATAATTGCTACACAGTCTCTAACTATAAAATAAACATGTGTTAATTCACAAAAAGTAGATATGTTATGTTTGAAACTCTACATACTATACGGTTTAACACAATAGAGAATAGAAAAGGTCCATCGAAAAAAATGATTTTAATTATAGTTTTCTAAAATTTTTTCAAATTGACCAAAAGAATTTAACCACATTTAAATTTTTTAATGAAAAAATTTTTTTTTGTACAAAACAACTAGTAACAGTACATTCTATAATCAGGACAAACTTGACCACTTGTGATTATTTTATAAGTTATAATAAATGAAATATTCAATGTCTCTCACGCTCCTAGTATCAGCTTGATTCAGTACTTGACATTTTATACATGATAAAGTGATTTTGATTGGCTAAAACAATGACCCTGGTTTATGCTAAGGTTTGCAAATGATAGCATTCGCTCTTTCACATATACAGACTTAGACATCATGTGACCTTCGTAAACAAAAAAAAAACAAAAAACAAAGGAGTTTCTCTATCATTCGATTTATCTTTGCTGCAATATTATTGATATTGTAACAGTTCTAGTTCTCTTACATCATTTGTAGATAAGGAAATTTGAAAATAGACAGGCATGTTGATTTTCCCTATTTGTTCTAGATATCGGACAATTGCAGCATTCTCTGTCAAGAACTGTTTATTTCCAAACGGGTGCCTATATTTACATACACATATATAATATAATTGTCACTATAACATACATTTTTTCGGGATTGGTTAGCAAACTGAAAAACATACATACATGTATCTATATTGAAATATTAACACCGCGGCTTTATTAAGTTAGGATAGCCTCATTTCTAAGTTACATTACGTGAATTACGTTAAACATAAAGGTAAATTAAAAAAAAATCTAAACCTACCCTTGGATCAAGCAATTTTTCAAATTTGGGTTCCAGATAGAAGAGTATACCATCTATAGCGCCATCTAGCGTCACTCCACGAATTAATAAGATTGTCAACATCAGGTAAGGAAATAACGCAGTGAAATAAACAACCTGTGATTCAAAAATTGACATAAAAATATTTTTACAACAAATAAAATGATCAGTGTCAGCCCTTTCTTTATTACATACAATGAAAAACTAGAAATGTGTCCATAGGACACCGGTGCCCCCACACTCCACCGATTTGTCAATCTTATGTCTCTAGGTAAAATATTTTTTTGGCTACATGTGCCCAAGTTGAAAACTAAAAATCTTTTATTAAGTAAAGGGCAGATACTACAAATACTAAATAAATCCACAAGAAAACCCCAAGGTGCATGAGTACACATGCTGACCAACATTCTTGTAAACATTCAGGCCTACAGGTCAAATACTTTTTGAGTTACTGCAAAACAAATTGAATATTGTAAATTTTTACTAAGTCAAGGACAATAACTCTAAAAATACTAAATATCCACACGAAAATACACAGATGCTGATCAACATTCCTGTAAGGTTTCATGGCTCTAGGTCAAATACTTTTTGAGTTACGTGCGACACAAAAAGAGAACGGACGGACGGACAAGGGTAAATCAAAATGCCCCCACCCCCTCTATAGTGGGGGCACAAAAACAACACGTATACATGTATATTATAAATATATTCTTTTTTTCAGGAAACAAAAGCATCCATTATGCTGCAGCTATATTTTGTATTTGTAGATGTATATGTGTTCATCAATGATAAATGAATGATTGTCGAAATACAGTATGATGATTTTCACAAAAATGATATTATCAACACTTCCTTTTCCTGTTCATCCCTCAGCTATTATGATACAATCAGCTTGTGAAAATGCTTACCAATAAATGGCAAATGTTTTATATCATGGAATGCAATTATGGCACAAATGTTTTAAATAAAATCAAAGTCGCGAAATATATATTCACGTGAAGAATTATTTATGTACCTTTCCGAGACTCTGGATTCCTTTAAGTAGTACAAGCCAGACAATAACCCATGCGAGCAAAAGACAGAGTGTCAACTTCCATCGTGGAGTACCAAAGTCTGTGATTGAATCTGACTGCTCTAAAACATAACGTCTGAAAATATAGACATTGTATATACATAAAACAAATGTTCAAAAACGCCGGTCCTGCTTAGATTTACAAAATTTAGTGTTGCCTTGCACACTGTGTACTACGGTGGCATAGATACGGTGGCATAGAGGTGACATTTGCAGTTTTATTTTATCTCGTGGCCACGACTTATTATCTTGAGGCCTCAAGATATTATCTCGTGGCCACGACTTATTATCTCGTGGCCACGACTTATTATCTTGTGGCCTCAAGATATTATCTCGTGGCCACGACTTATTATCTCGTGGCCACGAGTTATTATCTTGTGGCCTCAAGATATTATCTCGTGGCCACGAGTTATTATCTTGTGGGCACGAGTTATTATCTCGTGGCCACGAGTTATTATCTTGTGGCCTCAAGATATTATCTCGTGGCCACGACTTATTATCTCGTGGCCACGAGTTATTATCTTGTGGCCTCAAGATGTTATCTCGTGGCCACGACTTATTATCTCGTGGCCACGAGTTATTATCTTGTGGCCTCAAGATATTATCTCGTGGCCACGAGTTATTATCTTGTGGCCACGACTTATTATATTGAGGCCACGAGTTATTATCTTGTGGCCACGACTTATTTCAGCCAATGAAAATGGTCGTTTCATCTTGAACAAAAGTTAATATCAATAAGACCTTATATCACACTGGCCACAGCTTTCACAAGAGCGGCGGGTCAAGCGCTGCGGCGGTGAAGAAAGGGAACGTTTTATAATTATTATTCTTCTTTTTTTGTATGGTCAGGTGTTTCTTTCATTCTTCTTTAAAGATATACTTTGCTTAAATTTAATATTAGAAAATATTGATAATTGTTACATTGTCCCTTTGTACATGTAAACATAAAATGAACACGTTTTGACTTCAAAGATAGTAGATATGTTATGTTTAAAATTCTACACAGTATAGGTGTTCACCATGAATATATATATTGTCAGTTATTTTAAGTAAAGATTACCTGACCTGTTATAAGGAACGCAGCTTCCTGTACATAGTTTATTGATTTCTTTATTCAAGTTAGACGCATTAAGTTAGAATACCATAGATTAAAAAAAAATCTGTGATTTTAATTTTCAAGGATGAGCACGGTATATCTAATTTAATTGAGATTTAATTAAGAAATATATGCGGTTGATGTATACTTTTAAGGTCGTTCATGGAAATAACTTGCCCCTTTTCCCTATGGATTCGAATCCCATTAAAGACTTGTATCTAGATAGTTATTATTGAAGATATACTACAATGTCACAATTATAAATGACTAACATTGACGGGTTATCTGAATCTTTTTCTTTTTTTTATTATAAAAACTGACATACTAGTATACAAGTTTCAAAGACATATGTCAGTTCTTTTAAGATCTCCTCTTTGATTGGTACTGCTTATGCTGTGCTATTGCTACTGCCAATTTCACGCTTTATAATTTTCTCACTGCTACTTCTGTGCTACTGCTACTGCCAACTTCATGTTTTATAATTTTGTTACTGCTACTGCTCAATGCTACTGCTAACTTCCTACTGGTGATGACCACTTATAAAGTGAGTGTATTTTATGAAAAACTGCATCTATAGAAACTTGATCCTTAAACGTTAGGACCATAAGATAAGAATACAGAGGGCCAATTAGTGATGACAAGACTCTACTCAGTGGACGTGTTAATGTGGTCAATACAGTTAATAGTGATATACTAGCTGATAAGCCTTACTGAAATTCAGCATGTCTCTGGGAAAATGCGTGAACTTAAGTAAATATATGGTGGTGATTGACACGCCCCTCCTGTGACTGCTATTGCCAGTGTGATATTAAATTTTGTTCAAGATAAAACGACCATTTTCATTGGCTAAAATAAGTCGTGGCCACAAGATAATAACTCGTGGCCACGAGAAAATAAGTCGTGGCCTCAATATAATAAGTCGTGGCCACAAGATAATAACTCGTGGCCACGAGATAATATCTTGAGGCCACAAGATAATATCTTGAGGCCACAAGATAATAACTCGTGGCCACGAGATAATAAGTCGTGGCCACGAGATAACATCTTGAGGCCACAAGATAATAACTCGTGGCCACGAGATAATAAGTCGTGGCCACGAGATAATATCTTGAGGCCTCGAGATAATAACTCGTGGCCATGAGATAATAACTCGTGGCCACAAGATAATATCTCGTGGCCACAAGATAATAACTCGTGGCCACGAGATAATATCTTGAGGCCACAAGATAATAAGTCGTGGCCACGAGATAATAAGTCGTGGCAACGAGTTAATATCTTGAGGCCTCAAGATAATAAGTCGTGGCCATGAGATAAAATAAAACTGCAAATGTCACCTCTATGCCACCGTACATAGAGGTGACATTTGCAGTTTTATTTTATCTCGTGGCCACGACTTATTATCTTGAGGCCTCAAGATATTATCTCGTGGCCACGACTTATTATCTTGTGGCCTCAAGATATTATCTCGTGGCCACGAGTTATTATCTTGTGGCCACGACTTATTATCTCGTGGCCACGACTTATTATCTTGTGACCTCAAGATATTATCTCGTGGCCACGAGTTATTATCTTGTGGCCACGACTTATTATCTCGTGGCCTCAAGATATTATCTCGTGGCCACGACTTATTATCTCGTGGCCACGAGTTATTATCTTGTGGCCTCAAGATATTATCTTGTGGCCTCAAGATATTATCTCGTGGCCACGAGTTATTATCTTGTGGCCACGACTTATCATCTCGTGGCCACGACTTATTATATTGAGGCCACGACTTATTATCTCGTGGCCACGAGTTATTATCTTGTGGCCACGACTTATTTCAGCCAATGAAAATGGTCGTTTCATCTTGAACAAAAGTTAATATCAATAATAATAATGTTATTATTGAAGATATACTACAATGTCACAATGATAAATGACTAACTTTGACGGGTTATCTGAATCTTTTTCTTTTTTTTATTATAAAAACTGACATATACAAGTTTCAAAGACATATATCAATTCTTTTAAGATCTCCTCTTTGATTGCTACTGCTACTGCTGTGCTATTGCTACTGCCAATTTCACGTTTTATAATTTTGCTACTGCTACTTCTGTGCTACTGTTACTGCCAACTTCATGTTTTATAATTTTGTTACTGCTACTACTCAATGCTACTGCTAACTTCCTACCGGTGATGACCACTTATAAAAGTGAGTGTATTTTATGAAAAACTGCATCTACAGAAACTTGATCCTTAAACGTTAGGACCATAAGATAAGAATACAGAGGGCCAATTAGTGATGACAAGACTCTACTCAGTGGACGTGTTAATGTGGTCGATACAGTTTATAGTGATATACTAGCTGATTAGCCCTTACTGAAATTCAGCACGTCTCTGGGAAAAAGCGTGAACTTAAGTGAATATATGGTGGTGATTGACACGCACCTCCTGTGACTGCTATTGCCAGTGTGATATTAAATTTTGTTCAAGATGAAACGACCATTTTCATTGGCTAAAATAAGTCGTGGCCACAAGATAATAACTCGTGGCCACGAGAAAATAAGTCGTGGCCACAAGATAATAACTCGTGGCCACGAGATAATAAGTCGTGGCCTCAATATATTAAGTCGTGGCCACGAGATGATAAGTCGTGGCCACAAGATAATAACTCGTGGCCACGAGATAATATCTTGAGGCCACAAGATAATAAGTCGTGGCCACGAGATAATAAGTCGTGGCCACAAGATAATAACTCGTGGCCACGAGATAATATATTGAGGCCACAAGATAATAAGTCGTGGCAACGAGATAATATCTTGAGGCCTCAAGATAATAAGTCGTGGCCACGAGATAAAATAAAACTGCAAATGTCACCTCTATGCCACCGTAGTTTACCGTCAAAAAAGTGTATTAATAAAAACTCAAGTCATTATTTAAATAATATAACAATGTTACGATATACTTCATGAATGCATATACATTTTGTATGTAAAGAATTTGTCGAATTTAATTAGTATTTCATAATTAACATCGGCCAATTTATGGAACAGAATTATACGAGTGAAATGTGTTATTCGTATGTATGAGAACAATAAACCCATTTTTTTCTACATATTAAATTATATATCGGCGACAACGCTCTATGCTCTCCCAGCAGAAAGCACCATATCAAGCTGCCTTGCAGACGACAGACAACCTGTACTTGTTCCACCCAACCAAACGAATGCAATTTTGAAGTAAATTAAATACGTCACGCAATATTTAATACATATCTAGCCTTCACACTGGAATTTTACTCTTCACTGTAAAATAACATGATAATATTTCGACATATCGTTACAGAGTTATGGTTTGTTTTTGAATGACGCAATACTCATAAAAACATGACCTCCAACAATCGCCCGCCCTCAACATGGTTCCTCAAACTTGTAAAGGAAAACTTTCATAACATGCGTTATTACGTTGTCTTATCCAGCATTGCAAACATTTCATGATAATAATGTATGCATATGCATGGTATATATGAAGTTATGTATTCATGGGCTTGTTTGATTAAATGCATAATCACAATAAATCTTATATAGGAGTATATTGTAACGTGAGCCAAATCCTTAAACTAAATTCTAGTAATTGTTTAGCCAATGAACGTCTCTCAACGAAATGCGGCATCGATATTTGCTTTGAATAAAAACATCAACATAACGTATTTTAATGACATTTTATTTAAGTATAACTGGCGCGCGAGACGTATGCCTGGAATAAAACATTGGCAACGGTCGGTATCTGGTTTCATTTAAGAAAACATTAATGATATATCAATGTTGGCTGAGTCTCAACTTAACAGTAAAATCAATATCTTCCGACAGACTAATTCATCCTGGAATTTTATTAATCTCTTCAAACGAGAAACGAGTACGCAAAATCAATCGAAATCAAAACACGAGAAGCGCAATGCGTACGAACGTAACATTTTAAACAATAAAAACAATTACCATATTTTTGCCGCCTGTTTCCGCAAATAAAAACGGTTGTCGAATTTAGCATCAATTAAATTGGCATGGGATAGAATCAAGACAGTAAAGTTTCTAAATATAGGGATCTCTCGATGATACGTAATAGAGTTCCTTGGAAACTTGCCAATATCTAATTGTTTGTCTGCAACCCAAGAACTTTTAAACAACTTGCGTAGAATACTAGTGAATGAAAGAATTGCATCATACACTTGTTTATGTTTTTTGAGAGTCTTAAATGCTGAGACACAATGTTCAAAATGATAAATGGACATTCTTTAAATGTAATGCTACGCCATCTTTAAATATTGTGATATCAAAGAAGTGAGCACTGGATGAACTTGAGAAACATTACATCCTTAAAGTTTATTATTCTGGGCATCAAACAAAAACATCTCTCTCAAACAGAAATATAGTAGGTAGAATGAAACAATATGTTTGGTTTACGATCGGAGCGAAATACCAATACAATTTTCTGAATCTAGGGCTCATATTCACAAACAAACTTCCGGACATGGAGATCAATCAAAACAAGCAATTGAGGTCGATGTCAAAAAATGGTGACAAATAATTCATTGCCATTAGATAGCGGACGAATCCGTGGGGACTACTTTCACGAACAATAAGTTAATTGACGTGACAATCAAAATCAGCATGTTGCCCGTCATTTAATCTGCCTTGATTTCTGGTTCTCATCTTTATGTTATTTTGAGCAAAACAACACAAATATATTCTAAAATGATGTTATTGTGACTCTACTTTCAAAGTAACTATTATTGTGGAACATTGTCACATTGTTAATGTATTTTGACACGGAATGTCGTAAATGCTATCAAAGTGTATAATTTTGTGTTAAGACCATTTGCTTGTTTGTTTTGTTTTTGTTGTTTTTTTCCACAAAAAACTAGCATCATATAATTTTGTCTAAAAGCCAATGGTCTCTTTTGTTCCTGCAAATAATGTTACGCGTTTACTTTATTGACCATGTTGGTTTAACATATTGATATTAAGATTTAGCTCCCAAGGAAAACAATGGTCTGTACCTCAAAACTCATACGCCATTGTAATAACTTTAACATGGACAGTCGTTACCGGACTGCTATTGTCAAAAGGTGTCACAGTTATTTGCGCTTGACCTTTAAAATGAATTGCTTTAAATCTTCATTTAGTCAGTCAGTAGCTAGGATGTCATTGAGTTCAACAAAAGAACACCAACAAGTTACATTTCAATCAGTAGCTTGCATAAACTTAGAAGGAAGCGAACAATGGCATGTGCCTCGGTAGCATACGCATCCCCGGGACAAAAAAGATCTAGTCATTGCAAAAGTGAAATCGGATTTGACAGTATGTCCATAGCATAATGTAGAACAATAGACAGAAAGACTTTTTAACTCTGTTAAAAAATAAACGACATTCGTTTAAAGACAAATTTGCCTTTTAACGTCTAGAAAATCGTTTAATTAGGCCAGTTGATGGGCCAATCAATACCAACCTGTAGTATTCCTGAGTGGGCGTGGTTATCGTTAAATTTAACGCCTGCGCAGCCATCCTCGTTGCATCTGTAAAACATTTAAATAGTTTAATGGCAAAGATGTTTTATAAAAACCTGAACCTGCATTTCAACGTGCGTGGAAAAACAATCTACGAATATACCGGAATATACGTATATATGAACTATAATAGGGTTCCTTATTTAATTTGGTGGTCTTTAAAGAAAGGTTTAACTGTATCAAAGGTACATTGTATTTTATTTATTGTAAAGGTTAACAGGATAGCTTAGGGCTGATGAATCATAATTATATAAGCCGCTAAAGGCTACTTTTTTATTACTCACCGATTCATACAGTTCATTTGTTGCATCAAAGTTCAATGCCTCATATTTCAGATAAAATATGAATAAAAAAACACGCATAGAAGAAAACTTTATGTAATCTTACTGTCATAAGCGCAGTTCGCTGTATTCCATGTATTATTACATGTACTCCAAGGTAATTCTGTTGTCATTGATGCAAAGAAATAAAATATACACTGGGCAACAACCACATTATAATACAGGGCTATCAACCAGTTCACTATCACAGAGGCATACCCAACGCCTGTAAAATAAAACATTGATATCGTACAGTTATTTAGAGTGACTGTCACAAAAATATAGATAGACAATAATTATGATGTGCAGACGATATGATGTTCAGACGATATGATGAACAGACGATATGATGTACAGACGATATGATGTTCAGACGATATGATGAACAGACAATATGATGATAATGTGGCAAATATTGATTTTTCGTGTAAATTTCTGAACAGAGCAATGTAACTTTTTAATTTTCTCAAGCCTTGGGCTTGCATTTTAATTCCTGCTAACATGTAATGTAAAATAAACTTGAGTGTTTCTACAATTTAATCATCAGCCATTGTTTATTTTATACAGGTTCATCATCGCTTTGTTTCAAATAATACATTGCCCTATCCCTTTAGCACACAGAGCTTTCGAAGGTATCCATTTTTTCTTTCAAAATCACTTAGTATGGATATTTTTCAACAAGTTTCCCATTCGTAGTTCAATGACACCACTTACCTTTAAACAATGGATTAAATTTCCATATAGTAATTGGTCCGAGTGAAGCAAACTGGCCTAATGAAAGTTCCATGTAGAACAGTGGTAGACCGACAAACGCTAACATCAATACATATGGAATTATAAAAGCACCTGAAAAAAAGTAAAAAAAATAATTATGTGGAAAGTACCAAATTCGTATGCTGTTTATTATCCTAAATAAAATTTTAAGTCCTTAGATCGACATTACTTTATTTACTTTTTAGATAATGCGTTTCCGGCTCAAATTATCATAAAAATGTGAGAGTAATTCAAAACAAATTCAATGCCAATGAATTAACAAATATTTCATTATCGATCCTGCCATTGCCAAAACATTGTCATTTCTGTATCTTTATAAACAAATACTACAAAAATATGGCATACACTCAACGGAATCAAAATCTGTCGACCTTACACGCCCTTCATATACAGGGCCTAAATTCACGACTATTTTGGACCTTAGACTGACTTTTATTTTTGAAAAGTCTTTAAATATTTTAACGTTCTTATCATTCACTTACCTCCGCCATTTTTATAACATAAATAAGGGAACCTCCACACGTTGCCGAGTCCCACAGCATACCCGACACACGTTAACAAGAACTCTAGCTGGCCTCCCCATGTTGCACGCTCCTGACCCTCTTTGTCGCTATCATTCTCAGCACTGTTCAGTTCTGAGAACTGGGAACCAGCTGGTAGCGAGAGATCACTGTTCATTACTGAAGGTGCGCCGGGTTTCAGCGGCATTTCAATTTCAGTCTTTAAAAGAAATGATAGGCATGATTATAAGACTTGTTCATTTGGAAATATTGAATATAGGATACTTTTATCTTCTTTCTTGCTTTTAAACATAATTGAACTCGATTGAGATGAAGGTTTGTAGCTACCTCGAACCACTCTTGTGTCCGTTTAGTACAGGTTTTAAGGAAACATAATAGTGACCGAGTTAGGCTCGTACACACGATCCCTGTTACCGTTTCTCTCGTGATATGTTCATGTTGACACTATTTATTTTGACGCCACGGCCAACTGTCTTTTTGAATATTTTTATTTTCATTTCTTCCGTGGACATACAATGTATATGTGCACGTGCGTGTATTAAGCATTGCGTATGTGTATATTATAAGAGAAAATAAATAAACGTAAATAAAACTATAAATCAAGGCTATTAAGTTGTTAAAGTCGACACTATGGATGACATTGTTACTAACAAATGACAACGTAGGTTTCAAACTTTGACTGGTGATAGATTACTCTTGACTTTGTGTGGTCAATGTGACCTTAGTGCACATAGTGCACTGACCTTCCTAACGTGTCCGAGTTATTCAATATTCATTGCTTAATGTTGTTTTTCTTTTACTATCACCTTGCAATAAATTTTTAAAGTAGTAAAGAAAGGTCATTCAGTATTTGATCCTGGAATAATAAACTCATGAAGTAAATGAACAATTTTTAAAAGAATGTGTGTAATAAAAATTAAAGTTTGTTTCCGCGAAAATGTTTACCACTGAATGGCGCGTTATTTTGAATATTGCGCCACATTTTTATTTGATTGAGGCTACTTGTTATAGATGAACTTGAGACATAAGTAATCTGTATCTTTTAAAGAGGATGTAACCCAAGTAGATCTTTTTCAATTTATAAACAAGCTACTCTTTGTGGAAAAGACCACTTTGAAAGTCAACAATAATACGATTGTTATTACAATTTTTTTTGTTTGTATTTAAAGATTAACATTTACATATGATATCCTTAATGCTGTAATTTTGTTATAAATACTTTTCCTGCATGCATGCTTTGCTTTTATGTCTCCGGTTACTGTACTCTTTTATTTCATAGAATTATTTCATCAAAACATCAAATCAAGTATATTTTATATGATAATCTTATGTCTGTTGATGCAGTGTTATTGATTATATAAACGTCTTATGTTTATGTAAACATAATAATTATGATAACTTATCACCAAGTAGACTGGTGATGTATTTTTATTGAAAATAACCTTTTTTCCATGTAACAGTCTGACAACCGGATTTTCGTTTATTCAACATGAGCCGGAACTTGAACCGGAAAAGCTAAATCTTGTTGTTTTTTTTCTTCCGAATAACAATTTAATGTATTCACAATAAAATGAAGCACACATTTTGAGGGCCATACTGTTGCAGGCTTGGAATTCTTTGTATACGATGCCCGGAAGCTAATTTTTACATTATGTATAACAAAATAACATTCTTAACAATTTCTCCATAGCAACAGACAGCGTGAAACAACCCAATGTTGTTTCTGCGTGTACTTTCTGGAATACGCCATAGCCAATGAACTTTAACAATACAAGATCTCATACAAGTAAGATAATATCTCTTTCTGGAAAAAAACATCAGATATATACTAGATCTAACAACAAAAACAGAAGACGGATCATATGCTAAAAATATGATATTCCAATTTCGAAATCTATTGCAAAGATATTTTCAGTCTTTTTCTCAGAAGGACAATATGCCTAAATTCATAACCGAGCGCCTGTATACAGCGAATGATCAACATTAAAGCATGTAAATACATGTATTATTTTTCAGCCTTTGTTCATTGAAATGTCATGAACTTTTTTTTTCTTCCTTGATCGTACTAGTGTTCTATTATTTCATTTAACAAAAAACTTCCTTAAGGATTGAATAGAAATTTTGAGCGTTTTTTGTTGTTGTTGTTTTTGTTTCTTCTTTTTAGTATCTGGTCGATTTTTTTCAATCCAATAACATGCTACTTTATTTTTTCTGGGTGGAGAAAACAGTATCGTACATGTGCAATTAAATATGTCCAAAATAAGAAAAGTTTACAGTTTATGTTTACAGTAAATTATAATTTAACACCGTATCATCAGCTTATCTCTTTAAAAACAGAGTTGATTTTTTAAACAGATTTAACTGTAATTGATAAAATCTTTTAGTTGCATTTCGTAGTTCATAGGAATTTGTTTAAAATAAAACGGAAAATCTGATAATTGGTCAATCTGGTGATTAAACTCTTGTCAGTGGTCGATCTATTAATCAAAGAGCCATTGGTCAATCTCGTAATAAAATAAAAGGCTTTAAATATACCCTTTCAATGTTATCTGTTAATTTTAATATATTCACCATCAGTTACTTCCAACTGCCCAACATCATAACTGATGAGATGTACCGTAACCATTCTTATGGACTAGTACACAGTTGTAAAACCTATATCTGACTCGGGTACCGCCTCGTCCAATATAGGTTTTGTATCTGCATACTCGTTGTACCTAACAATTTACAATAACCTCACATTACATGATCCAATCAAATCAAGTTAGCCTCTTTTTAATTTTTCTAGTCCAAAAATTCTATATAAAATCTGTATTGTACACGAAGTAAAATGTCGGTGCAGTGGCTGAACTGTGCTCTGATGAATCCAAAGTGTCTTACTTCGAGATCCCAAGTGAAAACGACGTAAACCACCATCACATAAAATGGTGTGAAATAAGATGCATTATACATTGTTGAGTACAATACTGATTTTATTGGACTCCAACGTAGCTGCGAAACGTTTATTGACCTCGGCTAGCGCCTCTTCCAATAAAGGGTTGACAGCTGTTTACTAACCTTACAGATACCAGTAATGTACTCAACAATAATATTAAACTTTCCGTTATAAAATTAGAATTAAATTTTATGACATGTGTGTCGTTGCAAACATTATTAAATCAATATGATATAATTATAACACAAATATATCCTCAAAAACCCCGAGGCATATCACAGCAGGTATTATAACATGGTATTATAATAAAATTTGGCACGCCAATATTGCAGCTTCTCATCTGACATTAATTCAACAACTTAAGAAATTTAGAATCTCACCTTTACTGTCGTTAAACATCTTTTTATGGTTGTTTATTTTCTGTTGGTAATGTGTGACTTTATTTATTTATTTAGTTAGTTAGTTCGTTCGTTCGTAACTGTAACAGAACGCCTAAGCGAGATATAAAAATAAATACAAATAATTGCAATTTTTATGGTTAGTGGGCCTTTCAAATGACGGTCGCATATCATAGATATATCAAATAGTAATAAATTGATCATTATCGATACGACAATCAGATGTTATGTGAAAAATATCATATTTTATTTTCATTTAAAAAGTTGTTATCCTTTGTTTTGCCTGTTTTCTCATTGCTCTGCAATTTAAAGGTTTTTATTATCTGCTACCTAAAAGGGAAATTTGAAATGATTTCCATTTGGAATGACCTCGTTAACATACCACGAAGCACACCTTAAAATATATGTCGGCGACACTCATTCCCACTGCGGTCATAATTATATGTAGGCCTATTATATCTACTTTCAGCTTTATTTCATGACATAATTATGGGAAACAACTAACATAATAAACTGACAAATCTTATGAGCACAAGAGAAAAACAAGAGGGCCATGATGGCCCTGAGGTCGCTCACCTGTATATAGGCCCCCCACCCCCGGGCCAATTTTTACCCAAGGGCTTTTATTTGTTTATTTGAACAGACTTGGTAGACACCCATAAGAAGATGTTTCATGCTAAACATCTAAGTTCTAGCTCATTGGCATTTTTAAAAGAAGATTTTTAAAGTTTTTACTATACACATATAGTTAAAAACAATGTCACCCCTGGGGCAGGGCCAGTTTTGACCCCCGGGCGTTTATTTTAACAAACTTTGTAGATATTTACTTAAAGATGTTTCATGCTTAATATCTAAACTCTAGCTATTTGAGTTTTTCCAAAGAAGATTTTTAAGTTTTTGCTATACACATATAAGGAAAATCAATGACCCACCCCCCCCCCAACCCGGGCGGGGCCAGTTTTGACCCCAGGGCTTTTATTTGAACATACTTGGTAGACACCCATTAGAACATGTTTCATGCTAAATATCTTAGCTCTAGCTCTTTGAGTTCTTTAAAAGAAGATTTTTTAAGTTTTTACTATATGCATATAGGGAAAATCAATGACCCCCTGGGGCGGGCCAATTTTGACCCCAGAGCTTTTATTTGAACAAACTTGGTAGACACTCATTAGAAGATGTTTCATGCTAAATATCTTAGCTCTAGCTCTTTGAGTTCTTTAAAAGAGAATTTTTTAAGTTTTTACTCTATGCATATAGGGAAAATCTATGACCCCCTGGGGCAGGGTCAATTTTGACCCCAGGGCTTTTATTTGAACAAACTTGGTAGACATTCACTAGAAGATGTTTCATGCCAAATATCTAAGCTCTAGCTCTTATGGTTCTTTAAAAGAAGATTTTTTAAGTTTTTACCATATGCATATAGGGAAAATCAATGACCCCCGGGGCGGGGCCAATTTTGACCCCAGGGCTTTAATTTAAACAAACTTGGTAGACACTCACTAGAAGATGTTTCATGCTTAATATCTCAGCTCTAGCTCTTTGGGTTCTTTAAAAGAAATTTTTTTAAGTTTTTACTATATGCATATAGGGAAAATCTATGACCCCCTGGGGCGGGGTCAATTTTGACCCCAGGGCTTTTATTTGAACAAACTTGGTAGACATTCACTAGAAGATGTTTCATGCCAAATATCTAAGCTCTAGCTCTTATGGTTCTTTAAAAGAAGATTTTTAAAGTTTTTACTATATGCATATAGGGAAAATCAATGACCCCTGGGGCGGGGCCAATTTTGACCCCCAGGGCTTTAATTTGAACAAACTTGGTAGACACTCACTAGAAGATGTTTCATGCTTAATATCTTAGCTCTAGCTCTTTGGGTTCTTTAAAAGAAGATTTTTTAAGTTTTTACTATAAGCATAAAGGGAAAATCAATGACCCCCTAGGTCGGGGCCAATTTTGACCCCAGGGCTTTTATTTGAACAAACTTGGTAGACATTCACTAGAAGATGTTTCATGCCAAATATCTAAGCTCTAGCTCTTTGGGTTCTTTAAAAGAAGATTTTTTAAGTTTTTACTTTATGCATATAGGGAAAATCAATGACCCCCAGGGGCGGGGCCAATTTTGACCCCAGGGCTTTTATTTGAACAAACTTGGTAGACACTCACTAGAAGATGTTTCATGCCAAATATCTAAGCTCTAGCTCTTATGGTTTTTTAAAAGAAGATATTTAAAGTTTTTTCTTTTGGTTGCCATGGCAACCAGAGTTCTGCATGTAATTAAATTCTTTGAACAATTTTTAAAGGTGACCACCAAAGGAACATTCCTGTGAAGTTTGGATGAAATTGGCTCAGTGGTTTATGAGGAGATGTCATTTAAAGCAAAAGTTTACGGACGGACGGACGACGGACGGACGACGGACGGACGGACGGACGGACGCCGGACGAAAAGCGATCACAAAAGCTCACCCTGTCACTTTGTGACAGGTGAGCTAAAAAAAGATCAGACAAACAAGCATTTAGATATTGATTTTTTTTTTAAATTTCTTAAATTATCTCAACTTTTTCCCTTTAACAGAATTTCAATACATTAGATTATGCCATAATAGTAATTTTGAAATAAAGGGTTGTTATCTATATTTATTGTACAGACAATGAATTTTATCGAGCAATACGTGGGATCGATGTTTAAATATTTAAACAAGCTATGTTATTTAGATTGACTTTTGTACTTGTTTGCACTAGTGACTTTAGAAGTCCTTGTTGTTAAGTCACTTATTGACTCTAACCAGTCAATACAACACTGCTCTATCACAGATAAAGAGTTAGTTCGAGTAGTTTCACTTTCGGTAGATAACACGCAATTTTAAACGGAGTGCCATTCCGTAAGAAAAGGCAAAAACGGGGAGTGCCTTTCCGCGAAAATGTTTTTTACACTTAAAAGACCCGTTCGTTAGCTTAACTATAGGGGAATTGAAAAGGGGACGCTATATATATTGTTTTCTTTTGGAAATTTGGTTTCTCGAAAACAACTTCAGGGAATGAGTTGAAACTTCAAACACTTATTACCATAATAGGATGTCACTCTCGAAGGCCTATATCTCTAACATGGATTTTTGACAGAATCCTGTCTGAACTTATAGTATCTTCTACATTATCTAGGCTCTATCAAGCACTAAGAATAGTCGAGCTTGCTGTCCTACTGACAACTATTGTTAATCCCCCCCCCCCCCCTGTTTTTAAAGTCATTGTATCTTGAAACAAATTGAAATACCTATGTTTTGAAATATGAATGAACATTTCATACTTTCTGTAATCTATATTCAAAAGTAAAATGACAAAATGTGTTGTTTTAAATTTATTACATGTATTTGTTAAGGAACTTGAGCGTTTGAAATATATGTCTTTACACTTGTAACTTGTTATTTTATCAGTGAAATACTAAATATCCACGACAAATAAATATTTTGAAGATATGCCTCTTTAACAGTGATTAAATCTGTTATTTACTATATGTTCAATAATGCATGAAAGCGAATAACAATAAACCTCGACGTGAAAAGCTTTCTCATTTCTATATATCAGACAGGTGTGATATTCCCGCAGTCTCTATATTGAATGTATAGAAGTGAACTCATTACGATATGTAAGTTCTGTTGATAGGCAGGCAATATAAACAATACTGTCCGATAATAAAACTTTAATATACAGTGTATATATATCGACCTGTTGTCTTTGAAAATACTGTGTTGTTACAGCAACAGCTGGTCCATAATCCGTTCAAAAAGCAAAAGAAAATCTGATAAAACTCTTTGCCAAACAGTAAGTTCTTCTAGAAGAACGAAACCTTTTTTGCATAGCGCATATAAAATATACCAGACATTTGTATTCAAAAAACAGAGAGAATCTAAAAATCTGGACAACAGGCACGCAAACTGTTGTTCGAAGGACATAAAAATAACATAAAGGCTTATAAAGGTCCGCTGGAATTTTATTGTTGTTTTTTCCCTCTCGTCGATTCCACGGGGTGCCTTTGTTTGCAGCTGGTCTGAATAAATTTGGATAACTATGTAAATGTTATGGCATATTACGTAATTGACACGTGCCTGCTGATGAGTATTCGGACTGGTTATACGCGGGGTTCCTTGATAGTACACATAATCTTGCACATCATTTGTTTGAAATTACCGGAAACCCTTGCGTATAATTAAAATTGGCGCGAAAATAGTGTTAAGCGATGCTTAATGCAGATATTTTATGTGTGTTGTGCAGAAGATTACATTAATGGTCTTGGTCTTAATACACATGAAAATTGAGTTTCTGTAACAGCAATATGCTTTTAAACCATATTTCGTAATAGAAAGTCATATATCCAGTAGAAAAAAAACTAAAGAGGTTCAGACAGCATAATTTCACATGACCAGTTTTCTGTTTTACATGGCAAGGATCAGTTGCATTTCAATGTCAATCAGACAACACAATATAATACACGTGTAACTATACAAACATTGTTTTCCAAAGCCAAAAGTAAATATTTTGTGTCACTAAGATCGACTTTAGACAGTCTAAATTATTTGCAACGTTAATTTAAAACGCTTTTATCCAATGTCGATATACCGATTGTCTCGTCTCCATCGGGTAAACGCGTTTAAAGACATTTATATTACAGCTTTTAAATGAACGTGAAACTGGAACGAATTTATTACAGAAAATATGAGCATGTTATGCAATAAATTACCGTTTTAATTTTACATTAAATGAGAGCTTGCATTTCATATAATAGAATCAATACAAGGAAAATAAGGTTGGTGAAAATATTAGATAATTAAGTTGAATATTTCCTTGCGGAAATTGTGCTTATAATATTAAATTCCCTGACAAAGTAAAGTGGACCGAATAGTATACGATCTCAGTAAATTTGAATAGATCTAAATGTTTACAGAAATCCCTTGAAACACTTTACATTATATTTATTTCTGAACAGAAATGCTTTGTTTTGGTAACAAATGTTACAATGAAACAGTGGCATTATACTGGCAATTAACTACGACTCATATGCATGGAGAGGCACTCCTTCCCATTTGTTCTGGTACTGAAAATATGAACCCCGAACATAACGATTGGCGAATGTTCAAACAGCTTAGTTAGAAGCCTGCAGGAAACACTCTTGGAAATATTCAGCTATGTGGAATATTCTACATAATTGAAATATCAATAGATAAAATGGATCACACAGCCGATGTGTATAACACTTTATTTCGAGATAATTTATATGAACTGTAACCTGTGTTCTGGCATTTATTGTAAGCATGATATTTATGTTTATGTGTGTTTTTTCTGTTAATATGTTGTCCTCGTAATTTTAAGACCTCTCGGAATAAAATCTAAAATAAGATACTCTATTTTCGATAAATGTCACTTCTAATTCGTTCGTAACATTTTCAGAAGAATGTAAATAGTGAAAATTCATACACGTGCACGCACGCACATACATCAGCAAGTGTTATGGGTGTAACAGCGATTGTAGGCACGTGTCTTTTGTGCTAGAATTATCTGAAAAGCTCCAGTTCGATAATAAATAATTAATGCCAGTGATTTTATATGATAATGATTAATCTTCAGATGCAAGAAAGTCATGATTCCGCTGTATTTGTCAATATGGAAATGCTTGTCTCTATGCGGCAACAAGGCAAAAGACAAATGTTTGCATTACGGATGTAAAGAAATCCACGGGGCATTAAGAAAACACTTTCTTTTCATCTTTGTTAAGAAACCATGGATACAGTTTAAGATTAGATAAATCCGCCCCTTTTATCATCAACGATTTCTTTCTTCTTAACATTAATGATCATCTTAAGGATGTACTGTACAACAACAATAGCTGGTTTCAAACGTGCCCATCCTGCTTAACGGTTAGAGAAGTATTTAAGGTATTTTGGTTAAGAATAAACCACGTGACAAAACAAATCAGATTAATAATTATAACACGGAAATACTTTTTACGTAAATAAAGAGATAGTATCATTCAGTGACGGAAGCAAACATACTTAACACTTTATTACATTGTGCATGACATATCGTATTGATACCCGCCTTTATCCCCCCCCCCCCCACTTACTATAACAAAAACCTTTGTTATTTAGAAAAAACTCTGCACCTTTTACCCTGGTAAATTATCAGACACCAGGGAAACAAACCGCCATAAATAACTTTGCGCGTTAACTATCAGAAATATCGATCTACGCTGTGTGTGTAACTCTCTTGCGGTTTTTTCTGGCATATTTTTCTTCAAATTCCCAGACCTTTAAGTGCTTTCATATGCATATAAAATAGTATTAATACACGCAAAATGTATCTCGCTTTTTATATTCATTGCTGTTTTTTTAGCATTATATCATCAGTTTCTGTCTTTATAAGTAGCCAACATTAAAATTGTGAATAAAATAATTAAAATTTCACTTTTTGTGGAGACTCTAATAGTGAATAAGAGCTATATTATGTGTAATATTTTTCAACATTTTACACTTACAACTTCGACAACTTCCATATCTCCAATATGATACTGTAGCTTCCCATTTCTACTCTCAATCATTGGTGTCTCGGCAGTAGGCTCAGCCGACTCCTGTTCACTTTCCGCACTGGTCACTGACATTTGAAAGTTCACTGGTGCTACATCTAAAGTGTCCGGAATAGCTTCGTCCGTTTCTAAATCATTATCATCATCATCATCATTAACATTTACATTAACTTCCTCATTTATATTAACAATTTGTTCAGCCGGTTTCGTGTCACTGTTTCCTTCAACAGCCTCCATGTTTTCCGATACTTAATTTATGTTTATAAATGTATGTATGTCACTTTGTTGTCTTTAAATAGAAACTCAAAAATATTTCTAAAAATTGAAAAAAGATATTATAGCCTTCACTGGAACACACAGATCGTTGTATACATATGCCATGTGGCAAGAGCAGCTCGTATGTTAAATTACTACTGTTTACAAATTTTCCGCCCGTCGAAGGAGTGACTAATTTTGATTGGTTGTCGAATGTCTTGCGGAACGATGAACTCGTGATCGGGTAGTACGGAAAACTACGAAATATTGACCTTAAACTCATTCATAAATCCAATATTTACTAGGGACTACTTCCCTTTCAACAAAGACAGTGGATATTGATCCGCGTACCAGTTATAACTAGTTTGACGCCAGATAAATCTCGTTCAAATAATTGATTTAGTCATCGAATGCACCTAGTGACGCAATCTATCGATTTATAAGCAAGAAAAGGAAAATAAATTGAGCTTTTTATTTATTGATTTCTATTTATATTGAAAAACCTGATTATAGTTAACCTAGCTACTTTGAACGTAATTTGTATTCACCTTTAATTTAATTCCGAAATTTTCCGTATGACTTATTTATCAAAAATGTTTATAATTATGCAGCAATACTCAGTATTTCAAAATACAACAGGTGTGGTAAAGTTGTGTTATAGTTTTCTCATTCAAAAACTTGAATAGAGTCTAATAGTCAGGGATAGTGCGATTTCAATATGAGACCTATTTTTGGTTCTTTAATATCGTGCGGCAGGTATTTAGAAATTAAAGAAAATTCCAATTTCAACATGTTTCGTGCATAAATGAAAAGTAAAATGAAATTTGATAATAAATTTCCATACCGCCTTGAACATAATAATTATGTAATATATGTCCCGGGTCACGCTGACATTTGAAATTTGTTAACAACGATATAAATCACTGGTTAAAACAAATTAACGCATGCATTTCAGACAGTTATTTAATTTTTTTAAGTGAAGAAAATGCATGAAACAAATAAAAAAAAAATGATTTCATTACATAATCATTGCAAATATACAGTAGAGCTATATTTTAAATTATATAATTAAAGGCATAATTAACTGACATATCTCAGTTGGTGTAATAATTTTGGCCACAACAATTCATTCAAACTGCTTTAAAGAAAAAAAAAGAAAAGATTCTTGTAATGATTGTATTGTTGGTGATGCAATGTTTACAAACATTACATTTTCAGGCAGACGCATTTATAGATTTTCGTTGGAGCTGTGCCATACACCAACGTCATAGGTAGTCTTTATTACAAGGCAATTGATTAATTGAACCGAACAAAATCTGATCTTATTCCTAGTGCAGTCCAAAAATATTTGTTATTCCTCGCGCTAACGCAGTAGCACGTCGATTATGTGTTTAATAATATTTCATGGAATTGATCACAAACAACTTCTCATTTGGTCTAACATAAAATATATTTATCCGCCCACAAAAAAAATAAATTAAAAACAACAACAACAACAACAACACACACACACACACACACAAAATAAATAGCCACATACATTAACCCACAAAACACACAAATTAATCCTCCCTGCTGCATGTGGCGGATACAGATGGTTATTTTACGTCCTTCACTTTTGGCACAGGTTGTGTTGCCACGGCAGGTAGGTGTGAAGTACTGTGTGCGTCGAGGAGATGAGCAACATCGTCAGGGTTTTATCAGTGTTGCCAGGGTTAAGTTCATAAGTAAGAATGCGTTCGATCTAAGATATATCATTATGCTATATGTCCCAGATTCTATTAGCGTGTCATTTAATGACCTGAGTTTCAAAAACATCAATCTCAGACGACGACTGACAGTTGGAGTCGTAAAAACTTACATAACCAACAGAATATAATAGCATAGATTGAACATGATACATGTTAGAATTATAAGTGAAATGACATAATATTTCATTATTAACGTAAGCATTAGATAATTGTTATTTTAACACAGGACCTAATATCCCGTCAAATCATTTATATAAACATAACTATAAAAAAAAACATTTTATCTGTGTAACCATCTCGCAGAATTTCAAGTTCAAATGTTGTTTCTAATAACATGGGAGTAACTTAAACACCCAAATTACACCACCTTACTTATAAAGGTAATCAATGTAACTACAGGAATAAGTGTTACAACATAAAAATTTGAATCACACTTTTTTCAGTATTATGCGTATTTTGCTTCACATATCTCGACCCTTTTCCATCAAACTTCGGATAAGGACCTCAATACATTATTATTTTGGTCCTGTTGAACTTGCGCATGTGAAAAATAGTAAAACAAAAAACATGTAATTTGTTGTTTTTATTTCATTTTTGCACTTTATAATAACGGATACAGTACTGCGGTTTTACCGAGAACTGACACAAGCAAAAAAGTAGTTTGTCGAGTTAAATTATTATAACAAAATTTGTGATAAACAAATAAACGTGCATTATTTATTTACAAAGTATAATGGTTTACAGATTTGAATATGATCCTATGGCAAGGGGTATTTTTTAAATTGATTCCGATTATTAAATATAATCTCTGAAATCGGCAAAATTGAAGGGAAACAATCATAATGTCAGTCACAAACTGCATATTATATTAGTTACTTCCCTTACACAACAGTGGTATTTTTCGAATGAATTCCATGCACTTCACAGTCACATCTTATTAAAATTGCAATAAAAGCTGTAGGTTGCAATTACCTCTCTCATACCTCTTGTGAGTGCTTAGACAAAAAATAAACATGGTTAATAAATAAATAAACAGTTCCGTCCATGAACAGGCTAAATCAAACCGAGTCTGCTAAGCTTTCTTTAGGGATTCTTATTTTCTCTATTTTGTCCCAGGTGAGTGCGTGTTGCAGAAAAGACACAGAGCATCGGCAGGGGATTTGGAGCCCGCTGATTTATAACCAAAGACACGCCGAATGGTTAAGATCCGAGCCTGGTTATGTTACATATATCAGGGAAGGCCATTGAGACCAAAATACCCCCTCGTCGTTGAGGAAGCTTCGATCGACACATACACCTCAGCTGCCAATGTTCTGACTAAAGCAGAGGGGAGTGGGCCTACAAAGTAGGTAGGGGCGACCAGGAAAGACAGGACCTTAGCTGGCATAACAGCCCTTTTGAGGGCTACGTCCTACCTCCTTATATTGTCTCAGGTTACAGTACATTTAGTGACCTACTTTTGGCTCAAATATATCTGTGGAAATTGCATGGGCGTAAATTAGCACCACTTGGTGCCTCAAAATTAACCCTTTTGGGCATCACTGGTGACATACTCGACAGCGAAAGCTGCATTTAGTGCTTAAACGGGCGGATGAACTCTCATTAAACATAGAATCATACTGAACATATGATCTTTAGAATTATTTCTTGATGATCAGTTACATTTAACAGAAATATATATAAACTTGTGACCCTTTTTGTAAAATCAGACAATGGGTCTAAATTTCCTTTTTTATATATATATATAAATCTATTGTACAGCACTAATGCTTGCAGTCATATAACCTTAGTGAATTGTTGAACATTTATTTCAGCTGAATTTGCAGTTTTCCCAAGTTACCAGTAATTTTATCACTTCTTGGAACAAGCCAGGAATGGTTTGGTAAGAGGCCAAGTAGGGCTTGAACACAAGATTCATGGATTGAGAGGGAGAAACCATAGCCAAATGGTTGTTACTGCTTTTCAATCTAAAATGTTGTTTTTTATTACAATTATTATTAATATTATAGTGACGTCTTATTTTGCCACCATATGGCGTCACGTTATTTTTTGATATCACGTCCTTTAGGTTTTATTTACTCTCCTGCACACCAGTCGAATGTTTCGCTATCGTTCATTTTCTAACGTCAGTGTTTTCAGTGAGCTGCAAAGGGAGCGTAGGTTTTATTATGTAGCGAAACACCATATTATAAATGTTGAAGATATAAATGTTTTACCTTCTGTGGTTTTGTTTGTTTGACTGGGTTTTACGTCACACTGACACATTATAGGTCATATGGTGACTTTCCAGCTTTACTGGTGGAGGAAGACCTCAGGTGCCCTTCCGTGCATTATTTCACGCACGGACGGGCACCTGAGTAGAACCACCGACGTTCCGTATTCTAGTTGCATAGCTTTGTCACATGAAATAATCCAAAGTCCCAATCCGGATTCGAACCCACATCGGTGGGGGGGGGGGGAGTGGTTTGAAGTAAACGACCTTAACCACTAGGCCAGGGAGACCCGCCCCCTCTGTGGATAAATTCAAGACACAATCATATATTTTCACGGATATTTATTATTTATGCAATAAAATTTGCTGAATAAATGAATAACTTATATATAATCTATAATCCCAAGGTTATGGCTATTTACAACATTAACTCATAGAATAGAGAACATGTAGGATACACATAAACATTTTCATTTTTCTTCTTTACAAAATGTGTATGATAAAATACAGATATCTTAAAGTATTGTGACACTGATTCTCCATATATTTTCATATTTTTTCATTTGTGAATTAAACTGCTTTGTTCAAAATTCAAATTTGCTTCTAAATGAAATTGGAGAAAGAAACACAATCACTTATTTCTTAAGTAAATACATGTACATTTATTCAAATTTAACATATTTACCATGAAGCAAATAAGTAGGCCACACTACCATAACCTATCTGTATATAAACTTTAACTGATTAATGGCACCAAAAAGTAAGGTCATTCTGGTATAAAGGGTAGTCAGGTAGTTAGATAATCAAATTTAGGGAAAGTTCATTTAATTAGAAGGGTGACCCGGAAGTCAAGCCTGCAAATGGATACTGTACATTTGTGTCATAAATTTGCTTCGAAATGGAGCATTGACTAAATATATCTACATAAACGGGGTTTTCATAATGAATCAACCCCTTCACTGATACATGACATTATGCAAAAAATTCTAACTATTCTCATCAAATATACAACTTTTTATACTGTCTTAGAGATGCAAAGATTTTTTATGCACTTAATATAAAAGTTCTGATATAATAATTGTAATTTTTTTTATTTAGAGCTTGAACTATTCATACAAGCGCACATGATTACAACAAGACCTCTCCACTTTTCTCAGTGCTGGATAGTTAAAAGCAACATAGCAAAAAGGGGTCATAACTTTGCATAAAAATAATTTTAGGATTATCTACCCTTTTAAAATGACTTCCTTTTTTTAATAATAAACATGTATATCAAGTTTATAGAGAACAGCCCTTACATTTTCTGAAGGAAAAAAAACAAATAGGTTATGCCAAAGCTGATGGGATGTTCATGACAATAGCTCTCTTTTTCTTCAAAAAATGATGCTAATAAAATGAAAACATTTTGAATCTCAAGAAATTTAGCACATTTTGGAAGACAAACTCAAAAGTCTATGTTTTAGCAAAAGCTATGATTCAATCATTAAGATGAAAATGGCTGTTAACAGTTTAGTTAATTAATCACTTTATCATCACTTTTATCACAGCACAGTCTACAATCACACAATCTCACTTTGATATATCAATATGATTTATTATCAATAGAAGAAACATTTAAATCAAGCACAGTATAAAAATTACATTTCGTTCATTAATTTTATGAAAATCAAAAACCTGATTATTTAAACCACTGACATGTCCTGAGCTTTAATATTTGAACTATCAATTTTTAATTAAGAAACTGGTCATATTACATTAAAGGGTTTAATCTGATAACAATTAAGTGTAGACTTGCACAACACTATGCTAAAGTGCAGACTTTTCCAGTCTTTGCTGAAGTGTAGACTCACAGAAGACTATGCTATAGTGTAGACTGCCACAGACCATGCCAAAAAGACAGACTGAAATAAATCCTATGTTTTACCTATACATGTATATAACTACAGAAGTGTTCGCTTACAGACCCTATAACAAGTAAAGAAACTGCTAGCGAACAGCATGGATCCTGGTCAGACTGCGCAGGCTGGTCTGGATCCATGCTGGTCGCAAACCCATTATGTTGGTTTTGTCGTGACGTGGCTCATATGTTTTTTTTATTAAAAAGAGACATTAACAAGAGACGGGACAATACGTGTATTAGTCTATCACATTATTACATTGCATAATACATTATTATATTTAACAACACTAACAGAATACTTTCTATCCCCATATCTATACAGTTACAAAATATTTAGTATTTTTAGTTACAGGTTATAGGGACTCCACTAAGGTTATTTGACATGAAGCGACTGACTTTTTTTTTTTTTTTTTGAGATTTGTGTGTCATTTCAGCCCATTTGATGTAGGTCTGGATTAGTAACTTGTGCACAAATTTTCAGATCATTCCCCCACTCAGTTTTCTCAGAATAATTACTTTTATTAAGCAAATTGACCAAAAAATGAAAAGCTTTGCAACACTTTTCACTAAAAGTGGGCTAATTACAGATTTTCATTTGAACTCCCAGTATGTTTCTACATTACCTTTTGCAGAATTTTTACATCACCTGATCTACATGTATGCAAGAATTTCAAATTTTATGTTTTAAGGTTTTTTGACCTCAGGGGAGCACTTCCTTTAAAACAGAATATGAATAGTTTGATACATGTAAATAATGCTATTAGTTCTGTCATTTGAAAAATATATTATCACTTATATGCATTGTTTAGAGGACAAATTTCATGTTCACCAAAAGTAACTGTTCTTTTACAACATTAATTTCATATTGACCAGTATAAAGGGCGAGAAAAACCATTTGTTGCCTTAGTGCTTGCATTGCATTGTGGATAAAAGGCCGCTTTGCTACTAAAAACACCCAGCATACTTAAGTTGTAGGGTGACCTATAAGCCTCTTGTAATGATATATCCACTTCAAATCTTTTTAAAAGCAACAAACTTATACTAAAGAAAATAACTGCTATAATATGGTAATAGAAAATATTCCATTAATCCCGTTTTATCTAAACACTGTGTACATGTATTTTGTTATTTTCAAACTACATTAATTAATACATTTATATACAATCCACACTTAACTTTTAATCATCACCATTGATCTGTATAAAAACAGAGATTCTTCTAAACACTGACCAAAGTTCAAAATAAAAATATATCTTTGAAAAACAATAATTTGATTATAACACTTAATATTTAAATCTTATGTGAACAAAATAAACATCTGATATATTTATCATAAAATTAAGAGACTTATGAAAAAAAAAATCTGAAATTGAATGGGTTTATTTTTTATTACGAAATGTGATGAAAAATAGTTACTTGAAACAAAGTTTTGAAAAATGAAATTGCAATTAAGTGCATTTTTAAGCAAAATAGTCAGCAATTTAAATGAACAAATTCTTCTTGGACAACAATAAGTAATTTCTATTCAACATTAGAGAGTGGGGTTTGTACAAAATCAGGGAGATCTTCATTGTTTCAGGCGGTGATGCCAGCACCAATACCTGTATATATATAAAAATACTGTTGATTTACTAGAGAGGGGCATGAATATTGTCAATTTCCTCAAATATAACTAGAAGAAAATCTAACTTTTGACCTTTTTTACCTTTAAACTCAATCATATTACTTTCTTAGGTTAAAAAAAACTTTCCTGTCAGATTTTCATGATTTTTTTTTTATTACAAGAAAAAATAACAGAAAATGTAAATGAAAAGACCAAAAAATATATGAAATTATCTTTTGCAAAAGACAATTATTTAAATATAGTTTACATTGCTATCTAACAACGTGTGATGATGATGATATTCAAATAAAAAGAAGCCGGTTTTACAAATCTACCTGTAAATGATTTTCTGTACAAATTGGAAAAACATTTTTTTCTTCCTTTGAAATAGACTATATACAACTATAGTCTGTTTCCTACAGTAAACATTGGAATAATAGTTTTTATACACAATGAAATAATCATTAGTAATATTGATGTATAAAATACAATGATTAAATGAGAAGTGAAAAATATACAGACACAAATTTCTATTTCTGAATAACATATAACTATTGTCTGCAACAGATTTTCAGTGACTTTTATTCCTGTTAGTTTCGTCCAAATGACAATCTCCAAATGGACAGCGCTTGTACTTTAGCTTTCCTTTTTCATCAATGAATCATGGAGGATAATTCAAAATTGTCTTTATTTGAGTGACTATCAAGAGAGCAGGGTCAACTGAGATTCTCTTGGGCATCTCTGGGGTCTTGATTTGAAAATTTCTTAACTTATATTTTAAAAATTACAGCACAGATTACTCATTAATAAATACAAAATACTGATAAAAGTGTCTTAAAATTTAAAAAAACTATACCGTGACATGACCTAATAGTGTTTCTTTCTGATTATGTCCAGTCCACTTAATTTCTTGTCAAAGGTAAAAATATTCTTTCAGTGAAACCTCAGAAATTTAAGTCACTCAAAATCTGTTACAATCTATAGAAAATTCTGCATACAATATAATTATATAAATATATAAAGACATTCTTGTATAAAAAAAAAATGTTTCTTAACTTTTCAAAAAGGAACTCACTAGTGTATTATGAATCATAAATACACATTAACAAAAACAGAATTCATCTTAATATTACTTCATGTAACATTATTTTGTACAAAAAGTATCAAACGATTATATATTACACAATTATAATAATAATTAATAATAACAGTTTCTACATTTCTTAATATAACAAACTTCTGAAGAAAAAATGTAAATAATATATATATATTTATAATAATCTACATTCCTATTAGTAATGACAGGAATAGCATTTTGATACTATTATTCTTTTGGCGTGTTTGTACAGCTTTAAAAAAAAAAAAATCATTTTTTTTGTTAGCAATATACAGCTTTATCCAATGAAAATCATGCAATATTCACTAGCTTCGCCCTCATGAATATTCATTACCACTGGGCGTAATTACAGTCTGGTCTAGAAATTAACATAATTTCAGGCTGTCAAGATGCTAACAATGTACCATATAGCCTATTGGCAGTTATTCAATCTGTGAAGCTTCGTTCCTTGCCTAGTAAATATACCATCATTTTCACCAGATTTCTTATCTCTACACAGTTTGAGTATTTTGTTTTAACACAGACAGAACAAGCTTTCAGCAAAAACATTTTCATGACCATGATTTCTTTACATTTTCCTGCTTATAACGCCCTAAACTCTTCTGAAAGACAGGACTTGCACCACCTACTCTTCACTGAATTATTACTTCTTAGCACAACCTTCAAACTGACCAATAAAAACTTTGCAGAAGACTGTATCTGAAACTTCGTTCTCTAACTTTTTCAATATGACTCCCATTTCAACTTTTTTCATGCAAAATTGCTAACTATATGTAACTGGCCCAGTCTAAATCCAAAGTACACAAAAGTACTTGTTCCCTCAATTAAAACAATTCAATAAAACAATTCAGGTGGGTCAAAGCGTATTCTGCCTGTTAATATTACGAAATGATTCTTTCATGGATAAGACGGACACTCAAATGTGATGATATTTGCTGTCACTCAGTTCAACCTGCTCTATTTCTGTACTTCTCATTTCTTTCGTATCAAATCTTCAAATCAATTTATATCAATAATTTTATATCAAAACAATACAACTTCAAATCAGTATCAAACATTCCATAAATGATATTTCATCATCAGCAATCCATCAATCCACATAAACCTGTTGTGTATGGCTATCTATCCAGTAAACAGGCATAATTAAGTAGCATACTCTTTGCCTTAAGCTTATTTTTAGCACTTAAAAAGTTAAAGGGAGATATATAGATTTTTTTTCTTCAAAATATAACAATACTATTAGTATATAACTAGGTATATAACATGTATCTATATCATATTATTTTTGTGTAACAATAACAAGGTTTATATTGTCAACATCCACCTGTCGTGTATTGTGTATGAACATAACAGCATATATTGCTATACTTGTGTTAAGAAGACTACACGTTTTATTCAAGACAACTACACGTTTTTCATATTTGGCAATAATGAGATAAATGCTGGTTCCCCTTCTTGTATGCTGTAACGTTAACAATCCTCAACATAACCGAAGGGAATCAGGCCTTCTTTCCCATCCTTGCCTATTGCCTTTACCCAGCCCATATCATCTTGGTCTGATATTCGTGTAATTATGTCACCTGTCGGAAAAAAAAAAATAAAGAACAATGAATGTCAATGAAATTACGATTGTATAATAATCAATGCTTAAAACTGCAAAGCAGTTTTTTCCTTATTCTTTTTAATAATGTTATGGATCAACTTTGTTCCAGAACAGTTATTCTATTAATGAAGTTAACATTATTGAACAGTTGATACAATTTATGAAAATATTTCTTTAGATAATAAAGCTCAAGAGGTATAATGTAATAAAACAATTTTATACAATCTTAAACAGTTACACTGTTGTTTTCATAATCTTATGGTCAAACCTTGAAAGAGTTGTAACATAGAATGTTTCTGTTATTGAACACACATGAATATGGCATGTAAACAGAATAAAACGTTCCTATCCTGCTGTTCAAAGTATTTTTTTTTTTACCTTTTATCAATGATTTTGTGCATGTGCCATTTGCTGTTAAGGTAAAAAAAATACAAACAAACTTCTTACATGCAGAAATTTTGGAGTTTTTCCTTCTCAACATTTTTGGAGACTGCAGGCAGCAGAGATATTGCTATAGACAATTTAATATGCTTCAACTACAACAACAACAACAAATTTCATAATCCAATCTCATGTATCAGTTAACTAAAACATTATTTTAATTCCCTTGTTAAAATATTGTTCAGTAATTGGTTTCATCTATCAATCAACTTACCTGCTCCAGCACTTAATTCATCCTCCTCTTCGGCGTGATAATCGTAGAGGACTCGTGCCGGCACGTTGACCGAGCCTCCGCTACTCTGTGTCGGTGCACTTCCTTGCGATTCATGCTCATCTTCCGAGTCTCCGTCACCAAATGGATTACTTGTGCTTGGTGCTTGGGCCGGGGCACTGCAAATATATAGTTAATCATAAGTCATTTATAGCCCTACTTGTACACAACTTTTGTAACCCAATTTTTGATTGGCTAATTCTAGCAACTGTAGAAAAAAAACATTATACATTTACTTTGTATATTGATAATACACGTTTTTGTATATTGATAATACGCGTTAGAAGTGAAAACATAGATATAAATATAAACTCTAACTTGGATATTAATATAAACTTTATAAAGAGCATACATAAAAAGTGTACATTAAATCTGTCATGTATTTTTAAACAACCTTTATAGAAATGCCAATTTATACCTGTATATACCTTTTTTTCAACTAAAAATCATAAGGGCATTATCAATGTTTTACAGTAAGTTCCCATACAGGTAACACATTATTAATTTCGTTTTTTATTGTTTAATAAAAACAGTACAAGCATATAAGATGTGAAAAAGCTGATGAAATGCAAGTACATGACAGTAGAATATTGTGCAAAGGTCAACATGCCTGACAGGTTAATTTACAACTTCTTATTTTATCTTTTAAACTAGTCTTAATCACATTAAACAAGTTTTAAAATGCAAAACAAAGATCACACATTAAAGTAATTTATACATTCCTAAGTTAGTCATTTAAATATCAATAACATTTAAAATGTTAAAAACTCATCCAAATTTGCTGTCGGCATTGTGATTATTTTTCAACTGTTGTTAATATAAATAAACATAACATCTTCAATTAATAAATCACATCTCTACGCAAACATAAAGAGTTAATTAATAACACTTTCAAGGTAAAAAGACATAAACATAATTATGTAAATAACATTTAAAATACATAACATTATTCAAGACAGGGCTCTTGCAATTTGGCCATTTAAGTGCCCAAGTTGCCTAAAGTTTCTTAGCTAAATTTAGAGGACTGAAAGAAAACAATATGCAACAGTTTTTATAAGATTTACAGCGCAAGGCAACTTCACTGGCACTCTTGTTCATTTAGATATGAATATTTTACACAGAGACAATGTGGCAGAAATGTGTTTAAGCCAAGCAACATAATTCACTTAAACATATAAATTTTACAGTATTTACAGTTTCAAGAGACAAGCAGTTGCTGAGGCAGAACTGTAAAAAAAAAAATCTCTTTCAAAACAAAATGTGCTTTCTTTATTCTGGTTTTTCTTGTACAGTATGTTTAAAAAGTGAAATATTAAAACAGTGAAAAATATTAAAGACTTTGAGCAAAATGGTTTTGACTTCTTAACATTTGTGTTATGACCATTCTATAGTAAGATAATTAACACATAGAATCTAAAGAAAAATTCATAATAAATGAATATGAAATTTAAATTATCTGACAATAAACACCAGTATTACTTATTGAAAAGATATTTCTAGCATGTATTTTCTGTATGTAAGGATGTCTGTCATGGTGTTAGTAGATATTTACATGCCATATCCTACAATGTAACTGGTTAATATACACAAGGACTAAATGTTTAACTTTTTATATGTTTAACTGTTAGTGAAAAAGTTATACCAATACATCTATTAAAATGGGAAAGAATTATTAATTATTGCATAACATAATATTCATGGTATATAAACAAACTAAAAGAAAAATTGCATAACTTAAAAATACAAAAATGTACAGATCATTCCTCAATCAGAGATAATATGCTGCACATGTTCACTATAATTTACACATTCAAAATGAACATAACAGAACTACACAGCTATAAATAGTAACGGCATTCCAAAAAAATCATTCAAATATTTGTTTACTTGTGTACAGATTTATTTTCAGCATTCGTATTTGCATTTTCTTTCTCACCCTCGCAATCTATTTTCTCTTCATCGCCAAATGGATTTAATGACTCGTCGTACGAGTCTTGCCTACAAACACAACATAAATACACAAACATAACGTGAAATGTTGGAATTTAAAATAAAACTAACAGCACACGCCATCTTGCCAATACAAAAAATAATATCTTAACATCTTAATTGTTGCAGTTTGACAAAAATGCAGTTCTTACTTCAAGCTATTTCCTCATGAAAATCAATGACAATGTCTTACCCATGACATTTGACTTCATAATAAATACAGGTATTCTTACAAATCTTCATAAAAACATGTTTATTTGTTTGCTTGGTTTTACAGCGCACCAACTGTTAAGGTCATATGGTCCTGAAGCAGGAAAGATGATTTTAATTAACCTCAGTGTTACAAACTTCAAAGCTACACCAGGGATCAAAACCACCTCACCAGCTGAATCTACTAGATGCATAGACTCCAGTTATTTGAACCTATTTAGTCACCTCTTACCATCAAGCATGGATATAATGGTGGCTGCCATTCTTATGCTTCAATTATTAAAGGCAACCCCTCAGCTGTAAAAGGCTCTCAATATGTTTACTTTTGTCCTAATTCCTTTAAATCTTTGAATACAGCCCATATAGCTGACAAAAGAGGTCAATTACTAGTTATTAATACACAAAATCTCCTAAATGTCATGATTAATTTTTGCCTTGGCAAGAATGGACTAAGCATCAGTAAAACCAAATTAACAGAAAAAGAACTGTTTAACTATTTACTAGGACATCAACCTTATACTACTCAAAACTTTAATGTCATTTTCATGAAGTGAAAAGGTCTTTTGTTCTAGCGCATGTATTCCCATGGCTGGACCTGGTGTATGCCATAAAGATGGACTGAAATTAAGCGCATGTATTCCCATGGCTGGACCTGGTGTATGCCATAAAGATGGACTGAAATTAGTCATTGAACAGCAAAATAACAATAAAAATCATAACAATGAATTGATTTATCTATGTGTCCTCCCTACATATTTTATCTGTGACAATAGTGGATCTGAAAACCAAAGTTTTAATGAGAATACTGTGCTACAACCAAACAAAACAATGCTATGATATTGTGCTGCCATCTATTATGTGTATCTTAGTCTCTATGTACTAGTGTTCCATGTTTATGGTATCAACCAATAAGAATTATGCACTATTTTTATCTGATAATCAATTGATCATAGTGCTACATCATAATACCATCTTAAGTGTATTTGAATCACCAATCAAAATGTAGCGGTTACTGTGCTACCAGCCTATCAAGTGTTGTACATTTGTCTCTTGGCAATATGAGACTCAAGATAAGCTTCAAAACAACGTTAAATTTGTTATTTCATAAAATTATTAATCACAGACTTTGAAATTAAATAATAATAGCAGAGTTCTGTTTTGATTAACTTATTTTAAGACTGTTAGTTATTGAAAACTTCAGTTACTTTCAGATATTATATCATCAGCACAAATATCTTTTTTTTATTTTCTTGTGAAAATAAGATTAACAGTTGAAAATACATTAAACTTCTATATATTAAAGGAAGACACAGGCAAAATTTTCATTTCTTAGTTTTGAATTTTTCATTCATTATTCTGTAAATGCCCTCAAAATAAATATATTAGACAGTCAACGGAACAAAACTTTTCTCTATATAAAGAATAAAATGGTGGTTTCCTAACTTGACCCACGCGGGTCAGGTTAGAGCGCTAGTGTTTCAAAATAGTTGTCAAAGTGAACTCTGGAAACGTTAAAAGAACATGTCAAATGAATGACTTTGGCTTGTTTCAATCACACAATATCCAGAATATCTGTTATTGTAACTTCAAGGGTGTGTTCAAGTCACCTGACTTGTTTAAAACTATTTTGTGATTCTATTGGCGTCTCAATTTTGTTCAACATATATAGATATATTTATGCTTCAAACCCAAAATATAAAGAATTTAAACAGAAATTCATGCTGAAACTTCAAGAAAAATCATTTTAGGTTGATTTTAGTACATTAGATCATTTTGATATTTTTGACATTATTTTGCCTGAATATCCCTTTAACTTTGTAAAACAGCATCATCTCTCTCTGGAAAGGCACCGGTTTCTACTTGATTAAAACTGAAAAATCTACAGGAAAAAATAAATGACAAACATCTCATAACCTAACAATATTTGATAGAAACAAATACACAATATCCACTTTTAAATAAAATATCAACAGAAAGTAAATTGTTCACAATAAATGTCTATGCTAAACATTTGATGAAAAAAAAATTGTATTGTTTGTGCCATGAGCAGATCTGAAATATTTTCATTTTTTCCACCTTTTCATTTGTAAAATGTTTCAAAATTTCCACTTGGAAAGGTTTCTTTCAAATCAAAACTATTAAAAAATAGACAAACATGTTAATTCTCCTTGTCTTGTAATACTTATACTGTAAAGTTTTTCTGATTTTTCTACAATACATCTTTCATGAAAGGGAGACAAATCTAGAGCACACATTTCATGAAAGGGAGACAAATCTAGTGCACACATCACAATATGTTATAGTAACACAATCCCAGGCTCAATTTACTTCATGTAGGAAGGTCGCAACATTTTCAAAACTTTTATGATTTTAAATTAATCATTTTCCATGTCAATTAATAAAGTCACAGAAAAGTAGGGAGAGTTCTTCAAGATTTCTGAGATGCAAACATGAATAATTACTTGTTTCGGTTTCTGAAGAAGAGTAAAAGAATGTCACTGGTTTCCTAGTTGTTTAATAGAAGTTATCTGGGACTCAGCACTTAGGGTTTTTCCCAGCTAATCTGTAGGTACAAACTAACTAACTTCACGTTGCATTACCTGTCACAATAGATTAGTCAACCTATTTCGCATATTTTCGAAGCAGTAACTGTAAAAGTTTGTTTGTACCTACGTTATTAGCTTGGAAAAACCTAAATATTCTTAATTCCTGAGAAAGTCTACTGAGCCTGGTTTGTTAAAATTATCTGTTACACACTAAACATCTAAATGTGAAAGTATATATAACATTACCCCCAGCCAAAATTATTGTCGAATAAGCTGTAAATGGTAACAATGTTATACTATAATGTATTATATGACTAATATATTATATACAGAACAATTATGTTTATCCATGGATTATGGTAGTCACTATCAATGTAACCATGGTTTTAAAGTACAGATGATACCAGTATCCATTACTAAAGACAATATCAGTTGTTGTGGGTTTTTTTTTCTGTCTATTTTTAAAGTCTGTATTATAAGGGCAATTAAAATGTTATTATCATATGGCAAGTTTCTGTATTTACTTGCCAAGTAAGGCCTCAGGTGCCCCTCTATGAATTTAAAACATGATTCCACTCCTAAATAAAACCACAAACTTACTGTAGGCTAGATGGACAACTTTTAACATGAAACAATGAAAAAAGTTTAGAGCAAGTGATTTTAGTCAATGACCTAACCCATAAAGCCAATGAAATACAAAATATATACAGCATATTGACACAGTTCGACAGTTAAATATGAGTTTAACTCATCCCTCTGTAAATCCCCATCATTGTGGGGATCAAAGCAAAATAAATATTATGTTTCATGACACTTCAAAAGATGATGATTGAGAAAATTTCCTTAGCACATCAAAGGAGGAACATGTAATTTACAAATAAGTGAATTTTCTAAGAAAAATGGTTAACACTATACATTCACAGAATATCTATTACAAGCAATAAAATTTCATTGATTTCTTGTTGAAGATGAATTTCTGCTTTAGAAATGCCTAAAGTACAAAGAAAATATACGGAAATACTTCTCTGAAGAAGCTATAATTTCCGGTCCCATTAAATCTTTTATAGACATTTTTCCTTTCTATTAAATGTAATTATTTGTCTACAAATGGAGTTATTTGTAATTTACCAGTCTGTTTTTTCTTTAGGGAATGTATCTCTCCATTTAGAAAAAGCAGTCTATGGCTGTAAGGCTATTATTAAGGTTATAAAAACTGTAAATATACCACTGTTTTCTCTAGGAAAGATGAAGATATAAAGAATTGAACACAGAATTACAGATGATGCTCCCATTAACAAAAAGTTTTTTTAAAACCTAATGCACAGGATCTTCAATATCTTGATTTATTTTTATCTTGTTTTGTATAAGATCACCTCTGGCATACATTAATCTAAAGGTAGTGCATAATAAAACACACAAAAAAGGGTGTTTCCCCTTAATTAAAATAGATCTTTCCTTATGCAGAAAATTTCTTTAAAAAACTCAGACGGGTATACTTAAGATTTTATTACTGTACTTCTCACTGCTGTTTGAAATAATTAAATTTAATCAATTATCTTCAATATTGCCCTTAATATGAATTGAAGGCAATAAATGGAAGAAAACCAGACAAAACAGAAATTAACTTATAAAATCTCCGCCTTTAATAAGTGGTTATTTAGCCATTTACCTACAGAAATAACACTTTATATACAAAACCTTGCCCAATATATACCTGGCTCCAGATAGATATCTACATAAAGTTATACATTTATTGAGAGTTCAATGCAAAACTGTCATAACAAATTAAAATACTGCACTTTTGTAAACTAGCTTTTTCATTAGACAAAAGTAATGTTTACATTTTCTTTATAAATAATATTGCATGTTGGTCAAGCCTGTTCTTATTGGACAATCATCATACAATATCTATATACACCAATGCTCTAAATTTAAGAAAGTTTTTTTTTTCATTTTAATCAGTGAAAGAAAAACTACAATATTATACATTTATTATAATTTAAGACTACTGACACATTATATGGCTGTGTATAAATGGCTATTTTGCCATATAACCCGAGCCCTACAGCTTATATGATATAAACTTGCATCCATTTGAAATGGGCATATAACCTGTCAAAAATTGTGTTATCCAACAAGTCATGACAATACTGCATTTAACTCTCACATTTATACTGATTGTAATCCTAATGTAGTTGAAAGAGAATAAATACACAATGATATAAAGTGTGTTTATACCTGGAAGCATTTGTGTTAACAGTGTCGCCGGTTTCTGCGACCGTGTTGTTATAACCGCCGTGTTGTGAGGAATGAGATTGCTGCGAGTGAGTAGAGGATCGATTACTTTGTTTGTTATTGGTGGTGTTGGATGACGCTGCCGGTACAAAGTTTTCCGGGTTATGTTTGATACTGGTTATCGTGATACCGCCCTCGCTGGCCGTAATCTGTGACTTCTTCTCCTTGCCGTGGATTGGTTTCAAGTCTGGGGAATATTCCTGCAATACAGCAAGTTCTTACATTGCATTAAATGTCTTATAATAATAAGAAGAGTTACAAACATATAAGGTAATTATTTTACAACATTAACAAACAGTTTGTGATACTGACAAAGAAAAATCTGAGAAAACTGTCAAACAAGAGGGACATGATGGCCCTGAGGTCGCTCACCTGTATATAGGCCCCCGCAGCAGGGCCAGTTTAAACCCCAGGGCTTTTATTTGAACAAACTTGGAAGACACCCATTAGAAGATGTTTCTTGATGTTAAGTTTTTACTACACGCATAATATAATGAAAAACAATGACCTCCTTCTCCCCCCCGGCAAGGCCAATTTTAACCCAAGGGTTTTTATTTGAACAAACTTGGTAGACACCCATAAAGAAATGTTTCATGCTAAACATCTAAACTCTAGCTCATTGAGTTTTTTAAAAGAAGATTTTTTAAGTTTTTACTATACACATATAGTTAAAAACAATGAATCCCCTGGGGCGGGGCCAGTTTTGACCCCAGGGTATTTCTTTGAACAAAATTTGTAGACACTTACTATAAGATGTTTCATGCTTAATATCTAAACTCTAGCTATTTGGGTTTTTTCAAAGAAGATTTTTTAAGTTTTTGCTATACACATATAAGGAAAATCAATGACCCCCGGGGCGGGGCCAATTTGACCCGAGGGCTTTTATTTGAACAAACTTTGTAGACACTTACTAGAAGATGTTTCATGCTTAATATCTAAACCCTAGCTATTTGGGTTTTTTCAAAGAAGATTTTTTAAGTTTTTGATATACACATATAAGGAAAATTAATGACCCCCGGGGCTGGGCCAATTTTGACCCCAGGGCTTTTATTTGAACAAACTTGGTAGACACTCATTAGAACATGTTTCATGCTAAATATCTTAGCTCTAGCTCTTTGGGCTTTTTATAAGAAGATATTTAAAGTTTTTTCTTTCGGTTGCCATGGCAACCAGAGTTCTGCATGGAATTAAATTCTTTTAACAATTTTTAAGGTGACCACCAAAGGAACATTCCTGTGAAGTTTGGATGAAATTGGCTTAGTGGTTTATGAGGAGATGTCATTTAAAGTATAAGTTTACGGACGGACGGACGATGGACGGACGGCGGATGAAAAGCGATCACAAAAGCTCACCCTGTCACTTTGTGACAGGTGAGCTAAAAACATACGTAATAAATCAGAAAGTATATATTTTTTATGCTACTCAATCCTAAGTATCTGAAATTTAAGTATGTCAAATAGCAATCAAACTTTTCATTTTCCAATACTTTGTTTTCTGTAATAAATTAGTCCTAAACTTAAAACTATTTCAAAGATCATCCCTCCCATTTTTATTAGATTAATTAGCTTATAATTATTTTGTACGTTGGACATGACTAGCATATCTAAACTACAGGGGTATGACCCTCAGTATAAGTATGATAAATCAATAGCAGAGTGATGGCCTTATGGTTAAAGCTTCTTCCTCTCAAACAAGGGGTCATGCATATGAGCCTTACTAGGGTCATGACCATATTTTATCTCATGAAAACTCGAGTACTGGTTACAGCCTGGGGAAACAGACTCAAGAGAAGTTTTTCAAATAAGCTAAAAGGCTTCTTGATATTCAAGGTAAAGAAGAAAAATATTGTTGCAACCTATTTGAGAAATGTAAACAATACCTCAAATATTGGCCAGGCCATTGCCATATCAGCACCATGATTATTAGACCACCAGCGGAGATCTTTGTCGGCATCTGTGTTACTTATTGTGGAATGAAGTGTGGTGTATATTTGTGAATATCTGAAACATAAATGTTTAATGGTAAAATAAAATTTTGTTTAAAAGGAAAAAATAAGTAGCTACCCTTTACTATGTTTTTGATTGATTTAAATAAATGAAGAGTGTTAATGTAATTATTCTGACCTTTCAGCTGTCCAGTTATTTTACAGCAGTTATCAAATCAGTCATTAAATTAAGTTCTTCTATATACACATATAGGCAAAATGATAACTATTTCTTAGAACTGATTGAAACTTTGTATGATCTATGAATATGCTAACAAACAAGAACTGTGCTTGACCGTTCTCGGTGCTTGATCATAAAACAAGAGCCTGGATAATGCAGAAGTTCAAAAAGGGCCATAATTCTGTCAAAATCATGATTTCAACCCATTCCCAGTAGTTTTAGAGATACAAACTTGTACACAAAATTTAACCAGTGTGTTAATGACATGGTTCGTACAATAGCTCTCCCATTTTTTGAATACTCAAGCTAAAAATTAAAGGTGCACACAATCAGTGTCTGTTGAATTTGTTTTAGTTATCTGCCCTTGAACTTTCCAAAAAATCAACAAAAAAATCAAATTCAATACTTTGTCATATTACAAATTCATGCACTGTTAAAATAAAGGTCAGCACACAGAGTTATAGATAGTATTTGACATTATGAAATTGTTACCTTGAATCTACAGAAAGGTCTAAACATTGGTGAATATCAAACATGATCTTCTTGAAAAAATCTATTCTTTGTTTTTCAAAAGATTGACATTTTTCAAACACCTGAAAAACAGAAACATATGCATGTATATCAAATTTTCATGCCTAGCATTATAAAATATAAATGATTCTGTAATTAAGATTCTGTATAAATGATCACTATTGGAGAAATTGGTATTAACTTGTAGAGCTGGTTAGGTGGACTGACCCCTCAGAAAGGACCAAACATGAATTAAAAAATCTTAAGATTTTAAGCATCAAAACAAACAACATACAAAAAAGGCAATTGATTTCTCTACAATGAGTTGGTACACTGTCTTTTCTCTATGTTATTCAACTTTAGATAAATACGCCAGATTTTTACCAAAAATAAATAAATACTGAATGAAAATGTGGCAAAAATGAATGCTTAAAATATAATGTTTCAATCAAATACTTTTATATAATAATGAATACAGCTGATAAGCTAATAAACGAACCGCAAGGAGAACACAAAATAACTTAATAATAAGAGAGTAGCAGGTTATGTTATACACTACCTCTGTCATATCTTCTATATACTTGGAGTTATATCCATTCAGATCATTCAGACAAGCATTGTATTTCTCCTGAGTTGACTCCACCTCTATCTGACACTTCTTTAATTTCTCCTGTAACTTCTTTAACTGAAATTATATAACAAAATATTTATAATGGCTGTAACTCTTCAAGAAAATATTTGTAAGGGCTGCAACTCTTCAAGAAAATATTTGTAAGGGCTGTAACTCTTCAAGAAAATATTTGTAAGGGCTGTAACTCTTCAAGAAAATATTTGTATCGGCTGTAACTCTTCAAGAAAATATCTGTAAGGCCTGTAACTCTTCAAGAAAACATTTGTAAGGGATGTAACTCTTCAACAAAACATTTGTAAGGGCTGTAACTCTTCAAGAAAATATTTGTAAGGGCTGTAACTCTTCAAGAAAATATTTGTAAGGGCTGTAACTCTTCAAGAAAATATTTGTATCGGCTGTAACTCTTCAAGAAAATATCTGTAAGGGCTGTAACTCTTCGACAAAACATTTGTAAGGGATGTAACTCTTCAACAAAACATTTGTAAGGGCTGTAACTCTTCTTCAAGAAAATATTTGTAAGGGCTGTAACTCTTCAAGAAAGTATTTGTAAGGGCTGTAACTCTTCAAGAAAGTATTTGCAAGGTTAGTAACTCATCAACAAAACATCAGTAAGGGCTGTAACTCTTCAAGAAAATATAGATAAGGGATGTAACTCTGCAACAAAATATGTGTAAGGATTGTACCTCTTTTTTTATTAATAATATGTTAGGAATTTTAACCCTATTTGCAAAAGGTACATAACAAACACACCAAGAGCCAGCAATACACAATACAATCTAATTCAAACCACATTATAAGCCAAAATAAAACCTTACTACAAACCCCAAAAAGGCCTTAAATTTCTGTAAACATATCAAATATATGTATCATCAGCTAAGTGCACCAATTCATCTCAGAGAATAAATTCTGATATTCTTTGCAAATATTCCGCTACAATGCCCAGACATTTCTAATCTACATTGTCATGTAAATCTGACACAACTTTTTTTTCCCTTGCAAAAGAAAGCTACAATTTAATCAAGAATTTTCCCATTCACTAGCAGCAAAGGCTACAAATCTTCCTGGACACAAAACACACAGATAATTCTTCCAACATTCATCAAACGTATCGATTGACTTTTTACTTTGTGGGGATGATTTTTTTGTTACCTTCTTCTTTGCCAACAGTATACAGCAGAATCATTTACAAACATCTATCCCTTACCCTATAATTTTATAAATTTGCTGAATTTGTATTTGCTAAAATCATTAAAGTGTTTGAATTTCAAGAACAATGTGGATAAAATTTGGGTAGTTACTTGCAAAACATATACAGGTAGGTAATAATTTCAATAGTAAATTACAATCCAAGGCAACATTTTAACTATTATATAGGTACAAAACACTTGAGCAATGGCTTTACTTTCACTCAAGTGCCAGTTCTAACAGTATTTTAGTCACATTAGGTAGGCAAATAATCTATCAGAAGTATTCCTGGAATATCTATAATTATTTCCCTATTCTGAAAGTAACTGAGAGTTCTCTAGCAGTGGAAGACTAATATGTTAACACATAACGCTAACACATTGAAAATTTCTTGATTACCAGTGACTTATATATGTATATACCACTTACATCTACATTTTAATACCCACAGCTTACATATCACCTATGACCTATTTATCATAGGTTTGTGGATCAGCTATTGAAACAATTTATGTGTTGAATCTTTTGAGTCACAACCCTGTAGGAACCATTACCACCAGTATAGTGCTACCTGTCAGCCTGCACATTCATGACGACTGACTAGACTCTTAAACTGACTAACTTCATAATTACATCATTCTTCATATCCAAAAACTGATAATGAATAGTTCCAAATAAAGGAAGCTGGACAAGTCCATTAAAGAAATTCAGTAGATTAGAATTTATAGTTCATAACAGCACATTATAATTATTTAACAATTTTCAATATAAATACTTTAACAGTCACCTATCTGGGTTTTTAACCTTTTTTTCCAGTCCAAACTTTTTTTGGTAGCTTGAAAATAAAAAATTTCAATTAACATACTCCTGGTCTTATCTTTCTCCTCCATTTATAATTATAAACAAGCCGCGCCATGACAAAACCAACATAATGTGTTTGCGACCAGCATGGATCCAGACCAGCCTGCGCATCCGCGCAGTCTGATCAGGATCCATGCTGTTCGCTATCAGTTTCACTACTTGTTATAGAGTTTGTAAGCGAACAGCATGGATCCTGATCAGACTGCGCGGATGCGCAGGCTGGTCTGGATCCATGCTGGTCGCAAACGCATTATGTTGGTTTTGTCACGACGCGGCTCAAATATTTTCCCTCAACTTGCTCCCTCAACTGTAGCCAACAAAACTGATTAACCTTTAATGTTCAAACAATCAATCATAGAAAAAAATATTCATTAAGTTCATACCAGATAATAAAAGCACATTTATATTTCTGTGGAAAAAAACGTAACAACAAAAACTTATTTTAACATTTTTTTTTTATAAAGTCATCAATCAATCATTGAAAATAAACTGTCAAATAAACTGTCATAATATGACAATACAATAAGACACTGAAGGAGCTTTAACTTTTTTCAATTCAGATGAAAAAAAAAATCTGTATTTTCTTAAATAAACTGTATTGATGTTTTGGGTTGTTCCTTCTTCGTTTTTTATGACAGGCAAATTATTGTTTTATGGCAGTTTTTGGTTAAATGACTAGTGATCAAAAGAAATAAGAATTACCTTTCTAACAACAGAAAAATTGGAAAAATTTAAAAAAAGAAACCAAAATGAGCACACAATGGTACTGCTGGAACCCAAAGTGAACCTTTATGCCACTACAGTGTAGCAGGGACAGCAAAGTCATTTGTCTGTATTGCCCAGATTGTCCCACAGCCTGTACAGACAAGTGGAATTTTTCTAGAAATTACTTATTTTATAAATATCACATGGACAAGTTAAAAAGTGTTTCAGATAAAAGCAGACAAGTCAAAATCAGATTCTACAGGCCCTGTTACAGTGGTGTTAGGCCAGCCTTGCGGTCTTACCAGACTGACAAAATTTAAATTTTCATTTAATTTTCAAATATTGACATCTGTGACCTTAATTGATAGTGGAGAATTCCAAAACATGGCAGCTGGACAATTCCATTTTAGAAATTCAGGTTAAGTAAGATATATCAGTACTGCAATTTAGAAAATATGATATAAAAATCCTCTTGATTTTTTCAATGAATGTCATACTTTGAAAAAGCAACACCAATTATGGAAAGTTTTGTGAAAATTTTCTCCCTTGCTGATATTTCCTCTCATATTTCATATATATTCTAGTAAGAAATATGGAAATGTTATAATCAATACAAGGAAAATCTCTCCTAATAATATCAGTAAATGACTATCAATATCTGTAAAGTGTCCAGGGGGCTTTTTTTGTAAATTATTAGAATTGTGCATAAACGAGGTTTGATGTCAAGTTGGCAGGAAAGTTTGTTCTCCAATGCTTGGACAGCAAATATTTACACTTAACATTAACTGGAGTCCACTTTTCTATTTAATTTTTTTTTTGCTTGGTTATGGTCTCCTAAAAAAGAAACAATTATTACTGTGTTTCACTTGAACAAAAATATACAAAAAGCAATACTACTTTAACCCTTTACTTCATTTAGACGTGTTTTGACGGCTTTTCCACCTCCCCCCTTTTTGAGGCCTCAAACAGTGAAAAATTACCCTACAGGGTGTGCCAGAAGGGGGATGTTTGGGAGGTTTGAAGGGGGGCGACAGTCCCCCTCATCGCCAAGAAAATTTTGGACTTGTGAGAGACTAAAAATGACCCCAGGTCGATCATAAGGTAATGTGTAACCAACGCTGAAAAGCCTTTGACTCTATCTCAATCAATTGAGAAGTTGCTGCACTTTGAAATCAATTTTTATGGAAAAAATCAACACAAAATAGTGATTTTTGGTAATTTTGAGATGTCCCCTTGTTGCCATGGTAACAGGAAATTTAAGACTGAGCATGTCGTTACAAAGGCAATGGTCCAGTCAACATTTGTGCCAAGTTTGATTAGTATTGAAGCATTTTTCATTGTTTCATAGTAGTTTGAACTTGTAACAGGAGGCTTTTCAATGAAAACGGACATTTTTCACAATAATTATGCTCATGAGGGAAAGGGTTAATATATTATTGATTAAATTCAGAGACACCAGTGGACATCTTTGAGAAAAATGTAAACAAGAAAAGCAGAAAAAGCAGTAAAATTGCAATAACAGATTAATTGATTTTTTATTTGATAGCTGCCAATGAAAAGAACAACTGCTCTCTTCTTCAAGGACTGATTCAAGTAGTACTAAACCATCAACACTTGACAGTCCTGGAATACCTGATGAGAGTATTAAATATCTTACAATAAAGCATGGGGTGACTTTTGACAAATGCCACACCCACATACCCATTTCTGACACCTCTTGTAAATAAGTTTCGGACTATACAAATTCTGAAAAGCATTGAATGACTTTAAACAAAATAGTATGACATTTAAATTTTGTTGGCGACGCCGGTGAGCGGCGTCGTCTTATATGGAATGCTTTTTATTTTTGCCTATGGAAGGAGCTGATATTATTAGCAGTTAATTTCATGTTGAGTTAATTAGATTTATTTTGATTCGTAAAAATCAAGTAAACAAATATGTTGTTATATTTGTATTTAATAACTTTATATAAAAAGCATGTGCATTGTGATATTATTTTCACGAAATTGCAGGCTCAGTTTAACAGCTTGTCCCTTAGTTTTATTGACAATACTAAAACCCGGATTTCGAATATCGTTGTGGTCTACATTGATGCCGTATATATTCGTTCATTCATTTATATATTTTCAAAATTTTCTTACAAGAAGAAAGTTCACCTGCAAATGAGTATAAGGATAGGTAATGGACTGTTGTTAACGATTATCCTATTGATTTTATCCATATTACGTTGATCTGTTGCACAGAATGGTTGTTTTTACAAAGTGTACCAGTATCCGGATGTTGAAAGCTATCCGATTTTCTGC